TTGAGGTTCCCCCCAAATCTATCTCCCATCTTGAGCTCAGGTTTTGCTTTACTTTTTTTTCCCATCATGTCAGAGGTTTGGGGACCCTCCGGGAGCACGGTGAGCCCCCGGCAGCCCTGTGTCAGTGAACTTTGGGGTGCACACAGCAGGAAGAGGGTACCCAGGGCAGGCGGACAAACATCCTGCAGCACGTCCGCGTGGAGCCAAAGGTGCTTTGGGGACAGAGGACACGCAATTTCCACCTCTGTTTTGGTGCAGAAGACGTCTGAATCCCTACGTTTGCAGGCAGCACCGTGCCTGGGTAATAGTGGTGGTTTTAAGCCGTGTGTAGGCAGGTCCGTGTGTGAGGGTATTGTCGGGCTGCAAGGTGCTGCTGGGCTTCCCTCAAGAAGTCTGTTCTGCTTGACCATTTTTGCTGATGTGCAGAAGTTACCTCTTCGGTCACTCTTTGTCACTTCTTGGGCCTTACTGCCCATTTTTCTTCTTTCCGAAGGACACCTAAAGCCCCCGGCTCTGGTGTGGAAGGGATGAAGTCCTTGCCTTTCGAAAGTGAGCAGGATGGCCCTGGGGGCTCCGGGGGCCGTGCTGCGTTGGCTCCACGCTGCTGGTGGATGTGGCACCTGCTGGGCATGGGCACATTGCTGGTGGGTGTGTGACACGCGGGCACTTCGCTCACTGGCGTTGAGCGTGTGGTGGGGTCCCACACATCAACCCCCTCCCCGTGGGGCTCCATTTACCACTCTCTCTCTCTAGTTCACGTTGGGAAACTGGTGGTGCTGGGAGTTGTTAATTCTGCGTGCTAACAACTTCACACAGCCATGTAACAGAGGCTGGGCTGGGTCCGGCCCAGGCAGACGTAGCCACCAGCCCCACTGGGAGCAGAGGTGAACCCAACTCATCACCATCTGCCTCCAAGCTGATGTCCCAAAAACGTCAGCTGCTGTCTACATCAGCATCATTCTACCAGCTCTTTAACCCCAGTTTTCAAGCCAGGTGTCAACCACCTTTCTGCTTCATAATGTTTTCCTTCATTTTTAGGGAAATAATTATGATGAAAATATCTCATCCCGTTTTAGAGAGATGTTGATGGGCACAAAGCATCGCCAGGAGCTGGGGAGGCGGCTCCTGAGCACACACAGTCAGGAGCCCTTCATCATTTGGGGGTCGGACCCGATGATCTCTCAAGGTCCCTTCCAACCCCTGCAGTTCTGTGTTTCTGTGATTTCCAGCCCCAGCGTCCTCTCCCCATGCGCTCGCTGAATTGCACGGGACCCAGTTCTCTGTCCTGCAGTAGCGCACAGAGCTCAGTTCCAGCAAACCAAGGACAACCGGGGGCAGTCCGGGTTTCCCATAAGTTTCCATTGATGGTGCAATTAAAAAATAAAAACCCAGCCCTGGGCTTTTTTCATGCTTTCCAAGTTTCCTAAAAGGATCCATCGCAGAGAATGAAAAAAGCCCAGATGGAGAGGTGAGGGATGCCCCGAGCGGATGAAATCCCCCCCGTGAAGCCGGCAGTGTCTTCCAGTGCGCCCGGCAGTGCTTTGCTCCCTTCCTCCTTGCAGCAACCTCTCGCATATTTGAAGGCTGTTATTATGTCTCCCCTCAGCCTGCTCTTCTCTAGACTAAACAAATCCAATCCTTCAGCCCTTCCGCACAGGCCAAGTTTTCTCAGCTCCTGGTTGCAATCGTTGCCTTCCCCTGGCCTCTCTCCAGTGGGTCGCACTCGCAGGGCTTTGGGGTCCCTCACAAGCAGAAGGGGGTGGAAAAGAAAACCCAGACAGATCAAGTGGAGGCGAGCACCACATTTCTCTGCTTGCTTGGCTTCAGGAGGTGGGAAAGGCAGCCCCACAGGTGCTGGCCGGGTGTCACAGCCCCCAGCACCAGAGGCTGTTGATGCTGGGGGGCTGCGAGGAGCAGGAAAGGGGCGGAGAGCAGGCAGAGAGCGTGGCTGGCAGCTGCCAGGAGGACCTGTAATGAGCAAACCACACGGCTTCCCCCATACACGGCTCAGATTTAGGGGTGGGGAGCAGGGAAGGGTACAGCAGGGCTCCCCTTTCCCCAGCCCCCCAGGGGAGAGGGAGAGGACGTGCCATGCCACAGCACTGCTTTGCTGCATCCCCTGGTTTCCAGACCGGGCATTTCCCATGGGCAAAGCCTCCCGCAGCATCCAGCATCGCCTGGGGCAGCCCCTGAGTGACAACACCACGCCAGGAAGGTGTAGGGCACACCACCCCCCTGATTTCATCCCACAGCATTCCCAACCCATTTTCGCACATCTGGGGCTCAGTCCTCAGGATGTCCTTCACCTTGCTGCCGCAGCTCTGAAGCACGGCTCTCTCCCAGTAGGCACAGATGAGTCCTTCTCCCCCTTTGTATCTCAAGCTGGGCTGGAGGAGTTGGAGGGCCTGTGTTTTATTGCAGAAGAAAGCAAAGCAGCGAGTTCCCACGCTGCCTTTCATCTTCTTCCCCCTGCTCCCGCTGTTCCCACAGCTCCACCAGAGCAGCTGGAGTAGGAGGCAAACGCAATCACACTTCACCCCCCTCCTGTTCGGAGTGGTCCTGCGAGGGCTCCCCCAGGGACCAGACGGGCCCGGGGCGAGTGGGGCAGGACTTGGGACCGCCGGGGGTGCGTTCCCACCGAGGGTGGGCACTGCTCCCGATGCCGGTGGGTGCCCACACTCAGCCTGGCAAGGTGACAGCACGCGGCAAGGCACGCTGTCACCCCGCTGTGCCTTCCTCCTCCACTCTCACGTGTGTCCTGCACTCACATCCCCATCGCTGTTTCTGGCTCGCTGACCTGCGATCGCTCCATGTGTCCCCCATTAAGTGCTCGCCCAACGTTTTCCCGTTTGGAACATCCCCAGATCTGTTAATTACCAGCTCCTGGTGACTCAACAGCGATCCTGAGCCAGCTCCTTGAAAACTCCCCCTTTATCTGATGCTCAGCTGTTTATACCTAGCAGTTGCTATTTAACATCCTCCCGCGGTGGTGTCAGGGTGGAAGGTTCATTCACACCTGGGCCAGGAGATGGGCACATTTTGGACTCTCCCTGCCATCCCTGAGGCCGATGGCATCCCCTCGTCCCCTGCCACCCCCGTGTTGCCAAGTTCTCCTCTGGCTCCTGGCTAGATTCATTCTCAACACTTCTTTCACTTCTGTCCTCAAGGCTGGGGGGTTTTGGCTGCTGGAAGTATTTTGCCGTCATTGTGAAACTCGAGTTTTCGAACCTCTGCATCACTCGAGGAGAATCCCAGCTGTTGGAGGCCAGCCCCAGACCTGCAGGCAGGGGACACAGCAGGACGGGGCATGGGGGATCCCCAGCCATCGAGGCAGGCCAGCTGGCATGTCCCTGGTGCAGATGCTGTGATATCGAGAGCACTGGGGCTCTTCCAGCCATGCACTGTGTGGGTTCAGTCATTGCCCCCTTGCTGGGTGCAGGCAGGGGCCCCTTTCCTTGGCAGTGGAGCTCTGGTCCTGGGGCTGGTGCGACACCACCCGGCCTCTGGTGGCACCAGGAGCCGATGGCAGGGAACCCGTGCCCATCTCCCACGCCGCCATCCCCATCCTGAGCTGCAAAATGGCCTTGCAGAGAGGAAACGAAGCTGGCTGCAAAGCTTGCGTTCAAAACCAGACGTTCAAAGGCTCTTCTGCCCCCGGGGCAAATCCAACCGCAATTAAAAGGGAAGGAAGGCAGGGGAGTGCTCGGTGTGGCATGGAGATGCCTCCTTTGCCATAAATCACCTCTGCGGGCGGTTGGGCAGGCGGCAGCCCTGCTACACCTGCTCTCCCCGCTCCCACAGAACTGCGCCCGCCGGCACTGGGAACGGCAGCTCCCTTCCTGCTTCCCCACATCCCCGCCAAAAAGCAGGAGATCGGGTCAGGGATGCGCTCCTTGTCTCCTGCAGCAAGAAGCTTGGGGGAGAAAGTGCAGGAGAGGCAGAGATGCTGGAGAGATCCCAGTCCCTGTCCCCAGGGCACGGTCCACATCTGTGCGGCACCGAGCTGCGGCTTTATTGAAATCCCTCCCATTGAACGGTTGGTGAAAAAGAGATTTCATCAAAAACGGGATGGAGCACAGCCTGGGAAAACCTGGCCGGGGAACTTGGTCCCCATGGTGTCCCCAAGGGGTCGTGCTGGTTTGGCCACAGGGACCACGCTGAGCCCCTTGGGTGCTGGGTGGCCCCATGTCCCGAAGCCGCTTGGTCTTTGTCCTTGTCTGCAGCAGCAGGAAATCCTTCAGGAAATGTCTCTCTCCATCCTAACCGCATATTTATTTCCTTTTCTTTGCAAGAAATCTCTCTCTTTTGATAAAGCAGGGCTGGAGTGGAAGCGCTGGTCAGCGCCCAGAAGCAGAGGCCATTAATCAGCAGGAGCAGGGCGGCTGCATGCAATGCCTGCCCCAAAGGACGTTGCCTGCAACACCCTGCAAACGTCCCCTGGCCCTGCAAGAGGCAAATAATTACGGCAGGCAGTTGGGAGACCTGGAACAAGTCGGTGCAGCGTTTTACAAGGTGTTTCCCAACCAGCGGGACAGCACACGAGCCAGGAGGCGATGACTCACGGCAGCTGCGTGAGCTGCGAGGGTGGGCACGCTGCGCCTTGGTGATGCTGGGGCGCCAGGCCCCCGGAGGTGGGCGCATGGAAATGCTCGCTCCTGGCTTATTGGGATGCTGCATGGGGTTAGCAAACCTGCAGAATGTTTTTTTTTTATTATTTTTTTTTTTTTAACCCTAGAACAGCAGGGATTGGGAAGGTTTCTTGACCCTAAAACATGCCAACAGCCATGTGTGCACGGGGGCCCCATAGATGCTGGTTTGAGTCCTGCAGAGGTTTGGGGGTATTGGGAGTGTTTAGTTAAAAAAAAAAAAAAAAAAAGTGGCAGTGCATTTATTTCCCTTCTCCCCCCTGCAAATGGGAGGGCCATTTGGTTATAATTAGGTAATGAGTTAATTAGGATTAATTAGTTAATGTTTGCAAAGCACTTAGGAGATGAAAAGCACCAGTGTAGTGCGGCTTTGTGCATCCTCCTGCTCTTCTAGAGGGCTGCAGGACACTGCTCTGTGTGGGGGCATGCTCCCATTAACCCTTGGTGCCTGGAGCTTTGGGTACTGGGATGAAATCCCATCCCATGAGGATGAGAAGCCTCATCCCATGGAGAGGAAGAGGCCTCTGCCGAGCTTAGCTGGGCCAGGACTGCATCCTGGGGACATCTTGGCTTTGTGGCACTGGGGTCCTGGCAGAGCTGGAGGGCGTTCACAGGAGTGGGGAAAGGAAAAGAGGCAGGCGTTAGCAGCTGCTCTCTGAGCTCTGGCACCCGGTTAAAGCTGACAGAGCTAAAGGTGCCGGAGCCACCCCACCTGGGAAGGACAGATCCAGCGGGATGGGTATGGACACGGCTGGGGGCTGCAGCAAGGACGAGGAAAGCCCGGAGCAAACAGGGACGCTCCCAGCCCTGCATGTCCACCCTGCTGAGGCCAAAACCTACCCTGGCGCAGTGCTAGGAAGCAGGCATGTGTGCTGGGAGCTGCCTGTCCCGGCCTGCCATCCCCGCCTTCGCCCCCCGGCAGCACTGTTTGAACCAGCGGGGAAAATTCCAGCGGCTCGGGGGCCTCCCTTCCTGCCAGCGTCCTCTGGGCACGGCGTGCAGCACAGGGCAGCAGGAGGAACCCAATGCCCACACACCCCCCGATGGGGTTTTCCAGCTCAGCCTGCCCCCTCTCCCTCCTCAGAGGTGACTTGGTCCCCGGTGTCCCCTGCCATGGCTCCTACCAGCTCCTGGCACCTTCCAGCCCGTGGCTGCAGGGCACATGCGTGCCTGGTCCCCAGCTCCTGGCAGCATCTGCGTGACCTGAAAAAGCAAGGAATAGAAGCACGGCGGCAATGTGGGCTCCCTGACCCTCCGGCTGCAGCGGCAGAGCCTGCTGGGCACTCGCACAAGGGTTACCAGGAGGTAACGAAGCCAATTTAAAAATTAACCGGGATTAATTTCCCTGTTTGCCCAAACACACACACCCCGCCGTGCGGTTTCCCTTCATCCACTCTGGCTGCGGCAGGTATGGCTCACACCCCACTCTTGCCCACAACAGGGCTCCAGGCAGGGTGTGCTTCCCTTCCTATAGCGCTAACGAAGGAGCACTAATGAGCTGCAGGGATGCACTGGGGGGACCTCGGGTGCTTCTCTACCTCCAACGAGTGACCCAACACTGAGCAGCTCCGCTCAGAGCTTGGGCACCCCTTGGCCACCTTATGTGTCCCATGGGATGTGGCTCTGCATCACCCAAATTTCCCAGTCTGACCCCAGGTGCTCCAGCCACGTGCTGGGGACACAAATTAAATGACGTGGGCTGGGACCCGCGCGTCCAAGTGGCTCCACCATGGGACTGCCGTGCTCACCCCTTCCTCCATCTCCCGCTGACTCAGTTTCCCCATCAGTACCTTAAGGGGGAACCTGCTCGGGAAAGGGAAGAGTTCCAGAGACTGGCCTCCATCTGTGTTCCCCACCCCCCCCCAAAAAAAAAAAAAAAAGGAAAAAAAAGGGTAAAAAAGGGTATTTTGATATCAGCTGAGCAGGGTTCACTTAAACCATGGAAAAAAACAGATATTGGTTCCTAGAGGGACTTGGGGATGCGAAGGGACATTCCCAGCCCCCTGGCACAAGGGCAGGGCTGCGTGCCCGGGTAGCCCTGGGTGCTTCTTCCCCGCCACGTGCCGCAGGCTGGGGCGAAGCGGGCGCGCGAGCTGGGCGCGATGCCGGCCGAGCCGCCCCTTCCCCGCTCCGACAGCGCTTTGATGATTTAATTTCAGCATTTCTTCAGTCCCCAGCGGGTCCTGGAGGGGAGACAAGACCTGAATTCCTAATGCAGAAAAACAAGCAGAAAAAACAAACCCCTGCGGTTGGCTTTTTTTTTTTTTTTTCCTTTTTTTTTTTTTATTTTTTTTCCAGCCTTTCGGGCCCGTCCTCCCGCACGGGCGAGGAACAAAGAGGGTGGTTATTCCCCCCGCCGGGGGGGGGGACGCGGGGCAGGAGGGGCTGCGCTGGGGGGCTCGGGGGGACGCAGGGGGCTCTGCAGCCAAAGCAAAGCCTTGTTCGCTTTGGCTGCTGGCCAGCGGCGGGCCTGACTTTTGTGCTGCCTCTGAAATGTGCAGCTCAACCCCCAGGGCATCGCTCTCCCCCCCACCACCATCCGGCTCCTTCCTTCCTCCCCGAGCCCCCGCTCAGAGCCCCTCTGGTGTGAGGGGTTTGGGAGAGGGACCCCCTGGTACGCCCCCAGAGCGCGGACGGGGGCTTTCCGCCATCCGTTCCCTGATTATTTTGTGTCTCCACACGGCTTCTGGAGTCTCCTGGCCTGTCACCGCCACAGCTCCGACAGTTTTTGGCCAAATTGATAAGATCTGGGGGAACAAGGCGGCGTTTCCCCAACAATGCATTTTTGGGGACATCGGCCCTGCCTTGCCTTCCAGCGGCTTCACGGCTGCCCTGGTGCTGCAGGGAGCAGCCCGGGGGGTGCAGAGGGGCCCGGCCCCCCCCCGGCACCCCACGGCCGGGGCTGAGCACCCCACGGGGCCCTGCCCCACGCTGGTGTCACCCCCAGTGTCCCCTCAGCCCTTGTCCCCGGGGAATGGGGACACAACAGGGACGAGAAGGGGGGGTGGGGGGGTGGAGGGATGGACGGAGAGATGGAGGGACGGACAGACGGCTGGAGGGGGCTGGCCGGGGATGGCCAGGCCGCAGCCCCGGGCACCGGAGCGGCACCGACAGCGGGGGGGAGGCACCGGGGGGGGGGACCCGGGCACAGCCCCGAGCCCGCAGCGAAGCCGCCTCAGCGCCGCGGCCCCTTTAAGCGCCTCCCCCTCCGACCCCCCCCCCCCCCCCGCGGGCGGGAGGTGGTGCGGGCCGCTGGGCGGGGGACAATGGGGCGGGGGCGGCACCACTGTGGCTGCGGGGGGGGAGGCAGGAAGTGCCGCGCGGCCCCGCCTGCTCCTCCTCCTCCTCCTCCTCCTCCTCCTCCTCCTCGCCCACCCCCTGCCCGTCGCGGCGGGGAGCGCTGGCACCGGGGGCACCGGCACCGCCTGCGGCTGGGTGAGGGCAGCGGGCGCCGGGGGGCGGCCTCGAACCCGGGCCCTGCGGGTGGGGCGCGGAGCCGGGGCCGGGATTCGAACTCGGGTCCCTTCGGGGCGGCCTCAACCCGGGGCTCCCCCCACTGCGGCCCCCCCCCCGACCAGCCCGACCCCCGCCTCCCCCGTGCCCGCCTCCCCCGTGCCCCCCTCCCCGGTTTCGCAGCCCACCGCTGGTTCGCCCCCTGCAGCCCCACTCGCAGCCCACCCCCCAGTTTCCCCCAGCACACCCCAATTTGCAGCCCCCCTCCCCAGTTTCCCCCAGTTGCAGCCCCCACGGGTGCTCTCAGCCCCGGGTCCCCCCCCCGGGTGGTCCTCGCCCCCCCCCTGCCCGGCCATGGCTTGCAGCCTGAAGGACGAGCTGCTGTGCTCCATCTGCCTGAGCATCTACCAGGACCCGGTGAGCTTCGGCTGCGAGCACTACTTCTGCCGGCGGTGCATCACCGAGCACTGGGTGCGCCAGGAGCCCCAGGGTGCCCGCGACTGCCCCGAGTGCCGGCGCACCTTCGCCGAGCCCACCCTGGCGCCCAGCCTCAAGCTGGCCAACATCGTGGAGCGGTACAGCGCCTTCCCTCTGGACGCCATCCTGGGGGCCCAGCGCAGCCCCTTCCCCTGCAAGGACCACGAGAAGGTCAAGCTCTTCTGCCTCACCGACCGCGCCGTCGTCTGCTTCTTCTGCGACGAGCCTGCCGTGCACGAGCAGCACCAGGTCACCAACGTGGACGATGCCTTCGAGGAACTGCAGGTGGGTGGGTGGGCGTCCGGCCCTGCCCCGGCCAGGGGTCCGGGTGCTGTCCCTCTTGTCCCCGCTGCCGACATCTGTCCGTCTGTCTGTCCCTGTGCCTCGGGGCAGTGTGTCCGTGGGGTGCCCTGTCCGCCTGCCCACGTGCACCTTAGCTGGAGCTCTCTCTGTTCGCACGTGGGTCTGGGGAGCTGCTCCCCATAAAATTCCCCTTTCTGTCCATGCATTCAGCGTCTCTACCCCGGTGCTGCTGTGCAGGTGCTGGCACCCAATGGGCACAGTCCTTCCTCCGTCCCCAAACCCACAGGGCTGCCGTTTCGAGGGAGCTTTGTGCCCGTGCCTGCGGGGAGGCAGCCGGGCGCTGACCTTCACAGGCACCGACTCATCCCCTCACCGCCGTCAGCACCCGGTGATGCCCCGGTAAACATTTGTGGGGCCACTCTGTGGTCCCTAGGGGGCTGGGGGGTTCCCAGCACCTCTGGCAGCTGGCAGTGCTGGTGAAGCTCAGCCTGGGGCTGCAGGAGCCCGGGACCTGCAAGAAGCTTTGCTTTTCCCCCAAATCCCGTGGGTTGTCTTTGTCTTTTCTTAATGCTGCCAGGTCCCCCAGCTCACAGCCCCACCATGCAATGGGTGCGGGCAGCCCCCCTCCTGCCCTCCCCCCCCCCTCCCCCGGTTGCAGTGGGGAACTGGGCAGACTGGTCAGACTGGGCTGCAGGCTGGGTCTGAGTGCCTGCCTGTGTTGCAGCGGGAGCTGAAGGAGCAGCTCCAGGGCCTGCAGGAGAGCGAGCGAGGCCACACCGAGGCCCTGCACCTCCTCAAACGGCAGCTGGCAGAGACCAAGGTAGGAGTGGGGATGCGCTCAGAGTCCCCAGGGGTCCTGTGGCAGGACCCTGTTACCCCTCCAGCCCTTTATTGTTGGCGGAATCGCTCTAAATCTGTTCCCCTGCCCTGTCCCTGCTGCGCACTGGGGCTTTGCAGCTGCTGGGGTGGTCGTACTCCCCGGCACAGCCCCGTGTCTCCGTGCTGTCCCCCTGCTCCTTGATTCCTTTGCTGGGTGTGCACAGGAGTGAGCCTCACCAGCCCAGTTCTGGGACCTCCAGCCACCCTACAGACACACCAAGACCCAAATCTTGCTGACTGTGCCCCATTTCCCTTCCCTGGCCATGTGTAGCCCTGTGGCAGGCTGGCCCCTGCGCCCTGTCGCTTATTTCCCCATTTCATTGAGCACCTTCCTCTTTCTGCTTGCTTGGGCATTGTTTGGGGAGGGGCCTGCTGTTCACACCGGGCTCCCTTCTCCCTCAGCTTCATGTCCACTCCCCGTTACCAGCTGTGGGGCAGAGGGTGGGTTATCTGTCCTCCACCGGGTACCTGCTCAGGTGCTCGAAAACACACCTGGGGCATCCCCAGCAGTGTTTGCAGTAGGTCAGTGTTGGCCTGGATGGGCAGGGGGCTACAGACCCCACCAGGCTGGGGCTTTCTGTGGGGCTGACGCCCACCCACACCCCCCAGTCATCGGCCAAGAGCCTGCGGGCGACCATTGGGGAGGCCTTCGAGCGGCTGCACCGGCTGCTGCGGGAGCGGCAGAAGGCGATGCTGGAGGAACTGGAGGCGGACACGGCGCGGACACTGACCGACATCGAGCAGAAGATCCAGCGCTACAGCCAGCAGCTGCGCAAGGTGCAGGAGGGCAGCCAGATCCTGCAGGAGCGCCTGGCCGAGGCTGACAAGCATGCCTTCCTGGCCGGCGTCGCCTCCTTGTCCGAGAGGTGGGTGCCTGGGTGGCCGGGGGGCCGGGGTGCCCAGCGTGGGACCTCGCTGACCAGCGCCTCTCCTGCAGGCTCAAGGGGAAGATCCACGAGACCAACCTCACCTATGAGGACTTTCCTACCTCCAAGTACATGGGCCCGCTGCAGTACACCATCTGGAAATCTCTCTTCCAGGACATCCACCCGGGTGAGGATGGAGTGGGGGGGGACCCAGCGAGGGTGAGGATGAGCCCACAGGGACCTTCCTGTCCCCAGTGGGAGCTGGGGGGGGGTGTGGGGGAGGACAAGTGGCTTCTGCAGAGCTGCTTTGTCTGCCAAAAGCCACCTGCATGCCCCCAGGGTGGGTGCGCAGCTGGGTGGGGGTCCCAGGGGTGCTGACAGCCGCCCCTCCCTGCAGTGCCGGCGGCGCTGACGCTGGACCCCGGCACAGCCCACCAGCGCCTCATCCTCTCCGACGACTGCACCATTGTGGCTTACGGCAACCTGCACCCGCAGCCGCTGCAGGACTCGCCACGGCGCTTCGACGTGGAGGTGTCGGTGCTGGGCACAGAGGCTTTCGGCGGCGGTGTGCACTACTGGGAGGTGGTGGTGTCTGAGAAGACGCAGTGGATGATCGGGCTGGCGCACGAGGCCGTCACCCGCAAGGGCAGCATCCAGATCCAGCCCAGCCGGGGCTTTTACTGCATCGTCATGCACGATGGGAACCAGTACAGCGCCTGCACCGAGCCCTGGACCCGGCTCAACGTCAAAAGCAAGCTGGAGAAGGTGGGCGTCTTCCTGGACTATGACAAGGGGCTGCTCATCTTCTATAACGCCGACGACATGTCCTGGCTCTACACCTTCCGGGAGAAGTTCCCTGGCAAGCTCTGCTCCTACTTCAGCCCCGGGCAGAGCCACGCCAACGGCAAGAACGTCCAGCCCCTGCGCATCAACACTGTCCGCATCTAGTGGGGTACGCGCCCCGCCGGGACACCTGAGGATGGGCATGAGCCTGGGGCGGTGGCCGTGGGACAGGGGACGCTGCCCTGCCCGCGGGTTGCAGCAGTGCTCACTCGGGTTGCCTGGGCAGGAGAAGGCTTGCACTGCCCTGCTGGGGCTGGATCCTGCCCGGCATCACCCACCCTCAAGCCCGAGCTGACTCTGGGCACCGGGCAGGATGCGGCCGGTGCCTCCCAGTCCTGTGCTTCCACATGCGGCTCTGCAGGTCCGTCCCTGCCCCAGCCGCTGCAATAAAAGGTGGATTTGGAGCAAAGGGGCCGGGTGGTGCAGCCCCTGTGCAGGGTGGGGGCACCCTGGGGGCGCGGGTGATGCTGTGCCGTGCGTAGTGCCCTGCGCCATCCATGATACGTCGTGTCCTGTACCACGGTGTGCCGTGGTGTGCACTGTGACAGCTCAGGCTGTGCTTTGCCGTGGTGCGTTGTGCCGTGTGTTGTGCACCGTGCCATGGCTCTGCCGTGTGTGCTGTGCCGTGCCATGGTGTTGCTGTGCCGTGCCGTGCCACGCTGTGTGGCATGGCGCCGTGTGCCAGGCCAGGCCCTGCCCGGCCTCCTGGGACTGGCACCTGCAGCCCTGGGGGCCGGGCTGGAGGGGACCAGGTTGGGGGGCTGGTGGGGGGCACACAGTGTGTTAGGGGACAGGAGGAGTATGGGGGGGCTGTGGGGGGGCTGTGCCGGGCAGAGGGCGCGCTGTATGGCGGGTGGGAGATAGGGCTGCTTGGTGTGTGTACGGGGGAGGTGTGGGGGGGGTGTGATATGTGGGGGGGTGAGGTATGGGGGGGGGAGGTGAGGTATGGGGGTGTGGGGTCTGTGTCTGTGAGGGGTAGGGGGTGTGATGTAGAGGGACATGATGTACAGGGGGTGTGATACAGGGGGTGTGATACAGGGGGTGTGATATGAGGGCTGTGATGTACAGGGAGTGTAATATGAGGGGTGTGGGGTACAGGGGGTGTGATACGAGGGGTGGGGGGCGTGGTATACGGGCTGTGGGGGGTGATATACGGGACATAACGCATAGAGCTGAGATGTGGGGGCGTGATACATGGGGGTGTGTTATGGGGGGGCACGCTGTACAGGTTTATGTTTCCGGGCTGTGATACAGGGGGTGTGGGGTATGGGGGCTGTGATATGAGGGGTGTGGGGTACAGGGGGTGTGATATGAGGGGTGAGGGGTGTGGTATACGGGACATAATGCATAGAGCTGTGATGTGGGGGTGTGTTATGGGGGGGCACGCTGTATAGGGCCGTTCTGTTTCCGGGCTGTGATATGGGGGCTGTGCTGCCCGGGGGCCGGGCCTGGTGGTGGCGGTGCCGTTCCCGCCCAGGCCCCCCCCGCTCCCCGCCCGCCCACCAGGCGGCGCTGTGGGGCCCGGCCCGCGAGGGCGCATGCGCGCTGCGGGAGGGGCGCGGGCCGGGCGGGGCGGGGCGGGGCGCGGCCGCCATCTTGGCGCGGGCAGGGCCCGGCCGGCAGCGGGGCCGCGGGGGTCGGTGCGGGCCGGGGGGGGGCCGGGCCGCCCCCCGAGGCCCTGCCGCAGCCATGGAGCCGAGCGGCGGGCGGAAGGAGAGGCCGAAGCCCCGGGAGCCGGCGGCCCGCCTGGAGAAGGCGAAGCAGAAGTCGGCGCAGCAGGAGCTGAAGCAGCGGCAGCGGGCGGAGGTGGGCGGGGGGCGCTGGGGCCGGGGCTGGGTCCCGGGGGGGCTCCTCCCGGTGCCCCCCTCGCCAGGGCCCGGCCTCGCCTGACCGCCCGCCGCCTGTCCCCGCAGATCTACGCGCTGAACCGGGTGATGACGGAGCTGGAGCAGCAGCAGTTCGACTCCTTCTGCAAGCAGATGCAGGCCCCCAGCGAGTGAGGGGCGGCGCCCCCGGCACCCGCCCCTCGCGTTATTTATTACTTCGCCTCGAAGAGCCACTTTTCCCTTTTTTTCCCCTTTTTTCCCTTTCTTAATAAAAGCAGTGGTTGTTCCACACTTGTCTGGCTCCTGGCTGTGCTGAGCGGCGCTGTGTGCTCGGTGTGGGGAGGCCTGGCGGTGCTGGCCGGCTCGCTGGGAACGGCGCGGGGGCAGCGGCGGCCGAGCCCCCCCCGGGAGCACGGGGCCGGCCCGGGGCTGGGGGCAGCGGCCCCGAGCCAGAGCAGCTGCAGGCAGCGGCCGCCAGCTCCGGCCGGCCAGGCCCTCGTCCCGCAGGCCCTGCACCCGCCGTGTCCCTGCCAAGCCCAGCAGCGCCTGTTTACAGCGTTGTGGGGCCGCCGGGGTCCCCCAGGCGCTGGTCCTGCAGTGCTGACCGGGACGGGGTCGTTTCTGTCCAGGTCCCGCTCGCAGCTGCTCGCGCTGCAGGAGCCTCCCCAGGGGCCCGAGCCGCAGATTTGCTCTGGTTTCCTCTGCTGCTCTCAGCACAAGGTTTGACCTTCGCTTCCTTCCTCCACCCACACGCCCTGCGCTTTCCAGCCGCGGGCAGGCTCACACGCGGCAGTTGTTCTCCAGCTTTTATTTCCAGAGAGTTCGGCCGGCAGGTTTCAAGTTCCATTTTTCCCTTCTACATTCCTCCCTCCCTCCCTCCCTCCCACACCTCATCAAGCGAGCGCAGAAAGGAAAAAAAGAACACGGCTGAGATATTATTTCCCTGTGGTGATGAGTAAAAAATAAATACCGGAGCACTCCCTGTGTCTCAGGGCTGGGTTTTGGGGAGAACCGGGCCCGGCTTTGTTGCACTCTGGGGATTTGATCGGTGGCTTCCTCCCAGCCCGGCGCGAGGGGACAGCCGGGCCCCACTGCCCTCTCCAGGGTTGTTTCCTCACCGTGGTTGGGATCTTGGGTGTAAACGTGCCACAATTACACGCTGGCAATAAATTACTGTGTACAGTGGGAACGTGTCAGCTGTGTGAGCATCACCTTGATTCACAGCTCAGCTGCCGCCCCAGGGCTATGCACCGGGGGCAGCCTATAGGAACCGTCTGGGGAGGGTTTTTGGGTCAAATCCCCCAGGAAAGGGGGGAAAGCGGCCTCCAGAGTGGAGTTGTTCTTCTGGCTGTGGCCGTGGATTCGCCTAGCACTGCAGGGACGAGGGCACGGGCAGGGCAGTTTGGAGCAGGCGGCTCTCCTGAAGCCGAGAGCTTCCCTCTGTGGGAGCTCAGCTATTTTCTTTTCTAAGCAGGCTCTGCCGCAGCTGGGAAAACACTTGAAGGGGGTGAGCGGTGGCGTTTCCCTCTCCAGGGGCTGCAGCGTTGCGCCTGCCGGGCTGGGTTTGGCTTCCGCTGCCGCCGCTTTCCCCAGGAAGAGCTAAGGAAGGTGGGGAGACGAGACACCCCGGTGCTGGCAGCCGGGAGCGGGGGAGAGGAGAGCTTTACTGCGTGTTCGCTGGAGCGTAAGGCCGATGGAGCGAGCAGTCCTCACCAGGGCGGCCGCCACTTCGCCCTTAGGCTTTGCAGCTCCAGATGGCAAAGGGGAAGAAGATGTAAGACACCGACCAGGCGAGATAGTAGATGGAAGTGACCGTCGTGGGCAAGAGCAGCACAGCCAGGATGCCTGTGAGGGAGAACCGTCAGCAGCCAGAGCAGACCTCGACCGGCCTCATTGCCCGGCTCGCTGCCAGCCTTCCCTGTCCTTACCTCCAGCATAGATCAACTTCTTCCAGAGCTGAGACTCCAGCACCTTGTCATGGGGGTAGAAGCCCCGGTCGACCATGAAGAGGATCATGGCGATGGCAGCGACACGCAGCAGGATGACGTTGCCGCCCGTCAGCAGGAAGATGCTCACCAGCAGCGAGGAGGCGTAGGGGCAGGGCAGCCCCCGGTAGGTGAAGGGGATCTCTGTGGGGTGCGACACACTCAGCCGGGTGCCAAACAGGGCACAGCCACCCCGTGGGGTGCCACCGCTCCCCAAAGCCCCCAGCTCACCGCTGGAGAAGAAGCAGAGGCGAGCGAAGACGGCCAGCACGTAGGCGATGGCCAGCAGCCCGTCCAGCACACCCTGCGTCTGCAGCAGCAGCGCCGTGGCCAGCCCGAAGGAGGTGAAGTCAGCGAAATCATCCATCTTGGCACCTGTGGGCAGTGAGGGGGCGGCTGCCGGGGGGGGGACAGCTCCTGGCAGCCCCCCCCCCTTTGCACGGCCCCGGTCCCGGGGTGCTCACTCACCCAGTGCCGAGCAGGCATTGAGCTGGCGGGCGACGGCTCCGTCGGCCAAATCGAGCAGAAAGCCCCCGAGGAGCAGCCAGCAGGAGTGCTGGTAGTGCCTGGGGAGGTAGGGGGAAGGCGGTGAGTCCTGCGGCAGCACCGATTTAACTGGATTTACCTTTTTTTTCTTTTTTTTGGCTGCTCCCCACCTGTTCAGGCTGCAGAGGATGGAGGAGAGCCCCATGATCAGGTTCGCCATGGAGAGCGCATTGGCAGCATTTTTCCGGACAGACTCCAGAGCCTGCGCCCGGCCCACCTGCTTGCTCAGGAACAGCTTCTTGGTGTACTGGAAGATACCTGCAAGCCACCGAGACGCCGGTCAAGGGCTGAGCCCCTCGGTGACAGGTTTCTGGCTGGGATTTATTTAAGCACCCGAGGTAGCAGGTCGGTGCTCGGAGCCGAAGCCCCGAAGCCCCCTTCCAGCGTTGGGAAGGGGCCAGCGGAGGTTTTGGGGCGCTCCCCCCCAGCAGGAGCCTTCGCGGTGCGCCTTCCCCCTCCTCCTCCTCCCGGCTCGGCGCGGGTCACAACCGAAGCACCGCTCCCCAAACCGTTTTTGCACAGCTTGTTTTTTTTTTTTTGCAAGCGCTGCAGGGGGAAGCCCCTGCCTCCATCCGCCCACAGAGGCGAAAGAAAAAAAGTGAAACGATAACAAAACAACAAAATAACAAACCAAACCAAAACCAAAACCAAGACCAAACCCAAGCTTAGAATAAAAGCCAACCCCAGTGTTAAGCTCTATTGATCTTATATACCTATAGGGCTACGCTTTAGAGAAAGTGTTAAGGGTCATGTCCTACTAGTGTGTTTTGCACCCTGCCTTTGCCGTGGTCCCAAAGCCAGGCAAGCTGGTGACATCCTTCATCTGAAAGAAAACAGCCATGTCAGAGCACAACAAGAGCCACAACCGCTCGCCCCCCCGCCGCCGCAGCCCCCGCCGTCCCGCGGGGCTGAGACCGAGCCAGCTCGTGGCACCCAGGCACGACGAGCCCCCCGCCACTGGGCGCTGCCACCTGCAGAAAGGAAGGAAATTTCCCGTTCTCCGAGCCGGGCTGCGAGCGGGGCGAGGTGCCGCACCGCCGACCTTTGGCCACCCCACCCTGGGCCGCGCTGCCGGGGTTTCGGGCTGATCTGAGTGGGCGGGGATGGAAAAACACCCCAAAAAAAGCCGTTGAACGGTGCCCTGCAGGGGTAAATTTCACCGCCCCTCCTGCCCCATTCTGTTTTTTTTTGTGCAAGAAGCAGTGTTTTTGGGGGGACTGCAGTTGTGCATCGTGCCATCCCCCCGTGCTGGGGCTGAGCCGGTGGGTGCGGGGTCTCTCCATGCTCTGGGGAGGGGAGCAGCCTTCATGGCGGCAAAAACAGGCAAAAAGCGGCGGTTTTGGTTCTGACCGAGGTGACAGCTTGTCCGAAGCAAAGCCCTCAGGTGGTGAATTCCTTTGCAGACCCCGTCCCGTCCCCGCTCCGGGCAGGATCAGGCCCTGGGCAGTGTTAGTGGCACCGTCGCGCTCTGCCAGCATCACAATACCCAGGCATCACCACGGCACCCAAACTTGTCCGTTTTTGGTGTTCCCAGCCCCAAAAGCAAAGGGATGGGGTGAGAGGGACGGCGGGGCATGGGGGAGCTGCCCCACATCCCGCCCAGCCCCGTGCTGCAGGCAGCGCTCTGCACAGCAATTTCTGTGAGGAAAAAGGGCGGATTTGGCTCTTTGGCCTGCTCCAAACGGGGAGTTCTCAGCGACGAGAAGGAGGGTTTTCCAAAGGAGGCGCAGGCTCGCCTTCTTGTTTTATTCAAGCTGCCTCTTTCTGTGATTTTCTGCCCCGATTTGAGGGGCTGAGCGAGCTGTGCCGCTGGCTGCCGGCCCGGTTTGCCGCTGCCCGCCCAGCCGAGCGTGACACCGGCCCCGCAGGAGAGTGTGGAGCAGCTCTGTGCCAGCACCTTAAAACTTTCTCTTATCCCCTTTTTTCCCCCCAAACCACCCAGTCCCAGCGACCCCCGCCCAGCCTCACTTGGCCGACGACCACCACGAATCCCTGTTTTGTGTTAAACCACCAAAACCAGTGATTTTTTCAGGGGGAAGCCTTGTGCCGGGGGCAAGCGGTGTCAGGGCGTCGAGGCGGGACTTACCGGCCGGCGGTGACACCATCCACATGGCCGCAGCACCGGGGGCACCCCAAGGAGGGAAACTGAGGCAGGGGCGGCAGGGCCGGCGCTGGCCCCGTGTGGCAGCACCGCGTTTTATAGGGATCGGCTTCGCCGGGAACCGGCTGAGTCACCGGGGGGGTGGGTCCGGCCAGAGGACACGGGGGTTTTCGGAGGCGGCTGGCACCGCCGGCGAGGGAGGAGCTGCCCAGGGGCCGAGCTGGCCACGTGCCAGTGCCAGGCTCAAAGTGTCCACGCCAGCCTCAAAGGAGCCGTGCCAGGCTCACAGCGCCCGTGCCAGGACCAAAGTTCCCAAGAGAGGCTTGCAGCACGTGTGCCAGCTTTGCACCACCCCTGCCAGGCTTGCAGCACCCATGCCAGCCTTGAGGCACCCTTGTTGGCCTTGCAGCACCCTTGTTGGCCTTCAAGCACCCATGCCAGCCTTGAAGCACCCATTGCAGCCTTGAAGCACCCATGCCAGCCTTGAAGCACTCACACTTGCCTTGAAGCACCCATGCCAGGCTCAGAGCTCCTGTGCCAAGCTTGCAGCACCCATGCCAGGCTCCAAGCACCCATGCCAGGCTCACAGCACCCTTGTCAGGCTCAGAGCACCCATTCCAGCCTCGCAGCACCCATGCCAGGCTCACAGCACCCATTCTAGGCTCACAGCACCCATGCCAGGCTTGCACTACCCTCTCCAAGCTTAACCCCCACCAGCCCCACAGCACCAGCACTGTGGTGCAGCCCCTGCCCTGTGCCCCCTCTGCCACCCAGGCCTGGCACGTTGCCCCGCGTGGTGTCCCCCTGCCTCGGGAGGATCGGGGCACCGTGGTGCCCACCCTTCTGGTAAGGAACCACCGGCTCAGCCTGCAGCCAGCACCCATCCTGTCCCCACCGTCCCTGGCCTCCTGAGGGTGTCACCGGTTGTGCAAGGTTGTCACGAGCCGGGGCGGCCTCAGCTGCCGGAGCAAAGGGCCCGTGCGGGGACCAAAGGTCCCCCAGGCACAGCGACAAGGGCCAATAAAACCATACGGCCCCGCGGCGGGACAGGGATGGGGATTTTCCACCCGACTCGGGGTGGCCCCATCCCCGTGGGGACACGGGGGTCCCCGCCGGGACGGGACGGGACAAGCAGGGGGCCCATGCGTGCCAGCCGCGGCGGGGCCGCCGTCAAAGGGCCCTTTGTTCCCGGTCACGCGCCGCGGCCGGCGGTTGCGAGGAGACGGCCGGGCCGGGAGGGCAGGAGGCGGCGAGCGAGAGCCGGGCCCAGGGCCTCCGTCGTGGCCACACGCCAGGGACGGGGCACCCGGAGGGGCCCACCCCATGGCATCAGGGCACCTTGGGGTGCTTGTGCCCATAGTGCCTGGCTGTGTTTGAGAGCCTGTCCGTTCCCCCCCAGCTTCAGGGTGTTTCGGGGTGCCCATCACCATGGCCTCAGGGTGCCATCAGGGAGGAGCCGATTCTCGTGGTGGCAGGACACCTCAGGGTGCTCATCCCCGTGTCACCTGGGGGTCTCTGGGTGCCCACCAGGGCACCTGGGGGGCCGGGGGATGACACATGGCATCAGGGCCCCTTAGGGGGGCCCATCCCTGGGACATCAGGATCCTGCTGTGTACCCATCCCCGTGGCATCAGGGTGTCACTGGGTGCCCATCGCCATGGCATCAGGGCACCTTGGGGACCCATCACTGTGCTGTCAGAGCACCTTGGGGACTATGGGGACAGCTTCCCCATGGCACAAGGGAGGCCTCAGAAGGGCCCATCCCCACAGCCTCAGGGTGCCTTGGGGAGGAGGATGGAGCCCATCCTTGTGGCACCGGGGCACCTCATGGTGCTCGTGGCGTCAGGGTGCCATGGGACAGAGGTCCGTGCCCTGTGGGTCTCACTGCATCTCGAGGGACCCATCAGCATAGCTTCGGGGCACCCCGGGGTGCTTGTCCCCATAGTGCCTGGGTATCCCCGGGCTCCCTCTGGGCCCATCCCCGTGGTGTTTGGGTGTCTCTGGGTGCCCATCCCCACGGCACTGGGGTGTCTCTGGGCGCACATCCCCGTGGCACCTGGGCACAGCCACGGGTGCAGCCGCGCTCCCCGCGTCCGCTCTGCCAGTGCCATCTGCTGGCAAAGGCGGCCGCTTGTGCCAGGCGCCGCACGCGCCAGGCTGCACACACGCGTGTGCACACCCGCTCTCCCCCAGCACACGGGACACGCACGGTGTCAGCTCTGCAGGTTTATTTGCCCTCTGCGATGCCGGGAGGTCGCCGCTGCCCATCTCAGCTGTTGTTCTGTATGGTCTGGAAGAGAGAAGTGGCTGAGTGGGGTGCGACACGCCGGTGCCCTGGTAACCCAGCACCTTGGCATCCCCACACCCCAATGTCCCAGCACCCTGATACCTGGGCACCCCGACACCCCAGCACCCCGGCACCCTGGCACCGCAACGTCCCAGCACCCTAGTGCCCTGGCACCCTGATATCTGGATCCACTGACACCTCAGCACCGCAGCACCCCAACACTATGGTACCCCAGCACCTCGACATCCCAGCCCCATGGTACCCTGACACCCCGACACCCCAACATTATGGCACCCCAACAACCTGGTCCCCAAACACCACAGCATCCCAGCACCCCATTACCCCAGAACCCCATTGTCCCAGCACCCCAGTGCCCACCTCAGCGATCCAGTCCTCAAAGGCAGAGACGCGAGTGAACACAGTGGGCTTCTTCGGGGTGTCGCAGCCCAGTCCCGAGACGAAGCTGGCGATGCCGTGCACCTCCCAGTGCCCATCCTCAGCCTGGCAGTTCAGGGGGCCTCCCGAGTCGCCCTGGGGATGGGGTTGGGGTCAGGCTGGGGTTGGGGTGCCCCGGTTTCCCCAGCACGGAGCAGCCCAGAGCGGCACTCACGTTGCAGCCAGCCTTCTCGGCTCCGCCAGCACAGATCATGGTGGTGCGGATGGCCAGGCTGCCCCACCAGTCGGGCTGCGTGCAGTGCTCGTAGTCCACCACGGGCATCAGCGCCTCCTGCAGCCGGTCCGGCAGCGGGCCGCCAGCTGCCAATGGCGGGGGGGGGGGGTCAGGGACCCAGATGGACAGCCCTGTGCCTGGCACCCTGCCCGCCAGCCCCATCCATCACACGTCCATCCAGCATCCACGCATCACCCGTCCATCTTCTGTCTATCCATCATCCATCTATCCATTCTTCCATCCATCCCACCATCCCACCATCCATCCCACCATCCAAGCATCCAAACATCTGTCCATCATCCATCCATCGTCCATCAATCCTTCCAACGAGCCCCCATCCCTCCCTCCCATGTCCTTCCCTCCATCCCATCCTTCCCCCCTTCCATCCCTCCCTCCATTTCCCCATCCCTGTATCTCCACGCATCCCTTCCTTCCCCCACCCATCCCTCCTTTCCTCCATCTCTCCATCCCGCATCTGCCCCCCCCCCTCCCCAGGGAGCAGCCGGGCGCTGTCCCCACGCCGCAGGGACGCACTGGACAGACGTCCCCAGCCGCTCAGGTAGCAGGGGTAGCCGTCGGGCAGGATGGTGCCGGCGGGCGGCAGCTGCCCCGTCTGCACTTGGGTGTTGAGCACCGCGTTGTGCCGCAGTTTCATCAGGGCGATGTCGTTGCTGCCACAGGAGGACACACACACACGTCGTGGGGGCTCTGGATGGGGACATCGTCCCCCCGCGCCACCGGGACCCTGCTCACCCGCAGGCCACGCACGAGCTTCTCCACTTGGGGTGCACGAAGATGTCAGAGGAGGCGACAGGGATGCGCTGCTCAGAGCCCTCGGCAGTGCTCATGTCGTACTCGCCCAGCACCACCTCGTAGGTGAGCGTGGAGCTGGAGGGGACACGGCCCTCAGGGGACGCCACGCTGTGTGGTACCGGGGGTGCCCCAGGGGACAGGGGCTGCAGCCCTCCTGCACCCATCCCCACAGCCTGCACACTCCTGCGTGCATCCACCCTGCACCCCTCCTGCACCCTTCTGTGCACCCACCCTGCACCTCGCACCCCCTGCACCCATCCTGCACCCTGCACCCCACATCCCCTCCACGTGCCCATCCCTGCACCCTGCATCATCCTTACCCCACCCGGCACCCCCCTGCACCCTACACCCATTCCATGCACCCGTCCTGCACCGTGCAGCCCACCTGCACCCATCCTGCACCCCCCACCCCTCCCGTACACCCCCCCCCTCGCCCCCATCCCGTGCCCTGCTCACGAGATGCAGTGCGCGGCCGTCATCACCCAGCCGGGTGCGATGAGGGTGCCCCCGCAGGTGTGCCGGAAGGTGCCGTCGCGCTCGTACTGCAGCGAGATCTGCAGCGGGGGACACGGGGTGAGAAGGGGCCACGTCACCCACTGGGTGTCCCCGCCGCGTCCCTGTCCCCATCCCCGTGCCGCTCACCTGCCAGGGCCAGCTGTAGGGCACCGCATCCTCCCCGTTCACCACCCGCGACTGCGGTTCTTTTGGCAGCACCGCGGCCTGGCAGCCTGCGCGACAGGGTGTCGGTCACCCCAGGGTGCCGGGACCCCCAAATTGGGGATGCTGGAGGGGTTTGGGGACAGCTTACCGCTAGCCACAAGCAGCAGGGGGACAAGGAGCGTCAGCATCGTGATCCCAGCTCAGCAAGGGACAACGGGTCGACCGCCAGCCTTAAATCTCCCCCCTTATCGGGGCACTCCCTACCCCAAGGACACCCCTGGGAAGGGGCAGCCGGCACCCAGCTGGGTGCTGCCAGGGGACGCGGGGTGCCTCTGCGGGGTGGGGGCGTGCCGGGACCCCTCCCTGCGGTCACACAGTGGGGGACACCCCACAGGCATGGCTGAGGGGGTCCCAGTGCCCTGTGTGGGGCACTCCGGGGTGCCAGCCCCCCTGGGAGCCACACAGGTGTGGGGGCCGGGGGTTAACCATTAACGCCTGGCCTTGGCTATCAGGGCCGGGGGGGGGGGGCACATGGCCACCAGCACCCATCCAGCCAGGCCTGCGTGGGTGCGACCGGGGGCTGTGTGTCCCCATATGGTCCCCCATGGACTCAGTGCCATATATCCCACGTACACCCCCTCGGCCCTGCAGCCCCCCTCCCATAGCAGCTCTGCCTCCTGTAGCCCCATAGCTCTCTTGCTCCTGGTGCCCCCAGCCCCCTTATCACCTTTATACCCCCCCCCCAGGTCCCTTGTCCCCTCCAAAATCCCCATACCACCAGGTATCCACCACGGACCCTACAGTCTCTGTGCTCCCCAGGGCTCCTGTGTCCCCATAGCCCCCGTGCCCCTGGTGCCCCCAGCCCCTCAGTTACCCCCTGTGCTCCCCATAGCTCTGGTGTCCCCCCAGAGCTCCCATAGACCCCCAACACCATTAGTGCCCCCAGACACCCTATATCTCTGTGCTCCTTATCGTCCATATACACCATGATAAACCCCATACCCCCATGTACCCGGTGCCCCCCCCAGCCCCTGTGAACAGCTGTGTCCCCCAGAGTCCCTGTGTCCTCTACAGTCCCCATATCCTTTATGCACCTGGCACCCCATAGCTTCTATATGCCCTGTACCCCTATAGCCCCTGTGGCCCCCATACCCTCATGTCCTGGTCCCCCTATAGCCCCAAAGCCCCCATGCTCCCCCCCCCCCCACAAACCCTTGTGCCCCCCATAGCCCCCACACCCAGAGGAACCCCCATGTCCCCAGTATCCCTCGTGCTTCTGAATACCCCTGGTCCCCCCATAGCCCCTACAAATCCCTGTGCAGCGATAACCCCCATATCCCCTATATCCCCATACCCTCAGTATCCTCCACAGTTCCCAATACCCCTGGTTCCTCCACGGCCCCATATAACCACATTTGCCCCCCTATAGCCCCTCTACTCCCACACAGCTGGTGGCCCCCATCACCCCCATCGACGTCCATGTCCCTGTCCCAGCCTGGGGCTGGCCCAGTGCCACCACCCTGTGCTGGGGGCTGTGGGGTCCCCTGGTGGCTCTGGGTGTCCCCATGGGCCCGCTCGTGTCACCTGGGTGTTGCTGTGGGCACATCACACAGCAGCAGCCCCATGCGCACGTGTCCCTGTGTGTGTGTGTGTCTGGGTGTCCCCACAGCCCCCCGTGTCCCTGTGTGCTCCCCATGTCCCCACCGTGTCCCCACATGTCCCTATGGGTGTGCACAGAGGTGCCCCCCGGGGTCCCCACGCACCCCCATGTCCCCGTGGGTGTGCACAGAGGTGCTGCCATGTGTCCGCGAGTGGAGGTGCTCCCCATGTCCCCACGGTGTCCCTGCGTGTCCCCATGTCCCCGTGCCAACGCACGGAGTTGTCCCCAAGCTGTCCCCGCACACCCACCCCACGTCTCTGTGCACCGAAGTGTCCCCAGGTGCTGCCACGCGCGCACGGGAGCTGCTCCCCACGGCCCCACACCGTCCCCACGTCCCCCCGTGGGCACGCACGGAGGTGCCCCCACGCTGTCCCCACGCTGTCCCCACGCTGTCCCCACGCTGTCCCCGCGCCCCCCCGTGTCTCCGCGCACCGAAGTGCCCCCCAGGCTGTCCCCAGGTGTCGCCACGCGCCCGCACGGGAGCTGCTCCCCACGTCCCCAGGCTGTCCCCAGGCTGTCCCCACGTCCCCCGTGGGCACGCACAGAGGTGCCCCACGTCCCGCTCTCCCGTGTCCCCCCCGGGGTGTCCCCAGCTGTCCCCGTGCCCCCTCCCCATGTCCCCACGCGCCCCCGCGTGCACGCGCGGCGCTGCCCCTGTCTCCCACTCCCCGCCCCGGTCCCCCCCCCCCCCGTGGGCGCGTACCCCGGCGGCCCCGCCCAGCCCGGGGCCGGGGCCGGGGCCGGGACCGGGGCGGCGGCGGCGGCGCGGAGCGGAGCGGGACGGAGCGGGACGGAGCGGAGCGGGGCGATGGGGCCGCCGGTGCCCGCCGCGCTGGGCGCCCTGCTGCTGCTCGGGGCCCTCGGAGTGAGTCTGGGGGCGGCGGGGAGCGGGGCCGGGTGGGAGCAGGGGGGGGGGTTCCCCCCCACACCGTGGACCGGGTCCGGGGCTGGGGGTACCCCCCCCCCAGTGCCTTGTCCCGTGGAGGAATTCGGGTCCCCCCCGCCCCTCTCCCTCGCCGTGCGCTGTGTCCCCGCGGCTGGGGACGCCGTCCTGACCGCCCCGTCCCGCGGGGGAGTTGGGGACCCCCCTCGCACCCCACGCGCAACTTGGGGACGTGGGGGAGGCGCTGCGACGCCGGGGAGAGGGGGGCAGCAGCCTGCCCTGACCCCTGCGGCACCGGGGTCCCCCATGGACCGGGGGGAGTTGGGGTCCCCCTGGGGGCTGTGGGGTCCCCCTGCCCCATCCCCGGCCCCGTCAGGGAGCTGGGGTCACCCACGGAGTGGGGGCGCGTGGGGTCCCCGTGCCTTGTCCCCGAGGGAACTGAGGTCTTCCTGGACTGGAGATGGGGGTCCCCACCACCCTGCCCCATCCCATCTGGGAATTGGGGTCCCCCGGCCTTTGGGGTCCCCACCATCCCCCAAAGCAAGCAGGGGTTCAGGCTGTGACCCCGTGGGACCCCATAGGTCCCACGGGGGGCACATGTGGGAGTGCGTCCTGCTTTTGGGGTACTGCGCACCCCCAGGGTCCCCCCATCCCCCTCTCCCGCCCTGGCTAAATTTAAAGGGTGACAGGCAGCACCGGGCAGCCTGTAAAAATAGCGTTCCCGAAATACCCCCGGGGCTGGGGGGGCCACCAGTCATGGGGGGGCTGCCTAGGGGGGTCCCTTGGGTACCCCCAGGGGGCTCAGGGTGCAGGCTGGGGCTGCTGAGATAGGGCTGGGCCTGGTCCCCAAATCTAGAGGGGTCCCAAAGTGTGGAGCTGGGGGGGTTCCACCGGGTGCTGTGGGGGCCCCACCCGTGCTGGGGGGGGGGCAGCGGGGTGGTTTGGGGCTGGGACGCTGCCCGGGGCGGAGAACAGAGGGGCCTTTCTGCTCAGGGCCATGCTGGCAGGGCCGTGCCCCCCCCCCCGCCTCCACAGGGCAGAGGGGTGACGAGGCTGGGGGGGGGGGGGGCTGCGGCTTTGCACCCCCCCAGCCCTGCTGCCACTGTGCGGGTGAGGGGGGTCTGGGGACAGCAGATGGGGGGGGGGGGCACCAAGCATGCTCGGGACACCCAGGAATGTGCCAGGGTGAGGGAGGGGGGGGCACCAGCCCTATGGCACCGTGGCGTCAGGGCCAGCCCCACCCTCCCGTTAGGGGGGGTTTGGGGGCTTGGGGGTGCCCCCCCCACAGTGTCCCGTGCCAGGAAGGGTTAAGGCAGGCACAGGGAGAGGTCAGGGCAGGAATGTGTGATAGCATCGGGCCTGGGGGCAGGGGCGGGCGGGGGGGGCACGGTGGGGCACGCACACGCGTGTGCCCCCTGGCTGCGTGCACGCCGTGCCACGGGGGGGCTGGCACCCGCATGGCACCCCCGTGCCGTGCCGCCCTCGCACACTTGGGCTTGCACACGAACGTGCGTGCCGCTGCGTGTGCTTGCACGCCTGTGCGTGAGTCTGAGCGTGCTTTAGGGGACGGCTCTGCACGTGGGGGGCCTTCGGCCTCGCACCACCCTGCTGGGGACCCCCGGGGACCCCCTGGGCTCTGCCACCGCCGCGTGTGGCCCTGTGCGCCCCGGGCACACTTTGCCCCTGCCCCGTCGCCAGCTCCTGAGGCGGCCGAATGCTCCCATCGCCAAAGATGGCCTGGGCAGGAGCAGGCCGGGGAGGAGGAGGAGGAGGCCGAGGAGGAGGAGGAGGAGGCCGGGGCCGAGGAGGAGGAGGGTGCCCGCCCGCCTGGGTCGGCCGCCAGCCCGGCGTGCCAGCGCGCCTGGTCCCCTCGCGTTCCCTCTGCCCCGAAACGCGGCCATTCGGGATAAATTAGGCAATGCAGAGCGGGGAGGAATGTGCCCGGGGGGGGGCACCCTGCTCCCCCCTCCCTTCGCTCCCCCTCTCCTCCAGCGGGGTTCAGGCTCCCCCCAGCCAACACTCCCACCCTGCAGCTGTTTTTGCCCCCAAATCACTGGGGGGGGGGGGGCGGGGGAGAGTCAGGGGGGGTCAGGCAGCTGCTGCCGTCCCCTGGGGGCGTCCCCGCCAGCTGTGGCGGCACTGGGGGGGGGGGGATTGCACCCCCTCCAACCCCCCCAGCCCACAGGCGCTCAGCACCGCAGCCGGGTGCCCTTGGCCGGGGAGGCCGGAGGGCGGAGGAAGCTGTCGGGGGGAAACACCTTTTGGCTTGGAGAGCTCCGGCCTTGGGGAAACAATGGGGCTGGGGGGGGCGGCTATTAATAACCCCCCCCCGGTTATTATTCCTGGCCCCTCCACGGCCGGGGCTTCCTGCTCGCCGGGGCGATGCGTCACCCCGCGCTTCCTCCTCTTCCTCGCCCAGCCGCCGCGGTGCAAAGGGGGGGGGGCACATCCATAGGGTGGATTTATAGGGGGGGGCCCTCTGCGGTTCGGGGCGTCGAGCGAAGCCGCACGTGGCGCCGGCGGACGTGACAGCGGGGTGGTGCTTCCTCCTCTTCCTCCTCCTCCTCCTCCTCCTCCTCCTCCTCCTCCAGCCGGTGCTGTGGAGCCGGGGGCCCCCCGCACCTCATTTCCCCGGTCCCAATGGAGGCCGGGGCAGGATTTGGGCTGGGGAGTGGAAAATGTGAGCGGCGGCGGCCGGCCGGGCGCTCTGCCCCACCGGGTGAGCCGGGCGCCCGGGTGCCGCGGCCGGGGCCGCTTCCGGTAACCCGAGATGGGTCCGGGCCCCCCCGCACCCCCCTGGCGCCCGGCCCCGCCACCGGACAGCTGGGCTGGGGCTGCCGGGGGGGCACCGTGCCCGCCAGGCCCCACTGCATGGGGGGGGTGGTGGCAGAGCACCCGCAGGCTCAGTGCATGAGTGGGAAGCAGCAGCAGAGCACCCTGACACCTGCAGCGAGTTTGGGGGTGCAGGGGGGGGGGATGGCAGAGCACCCACCCCATCAGTGCATGTGTGGCTGTGGAGCACCCACCAGCTCGGTGCATGCATGGGGGCACCAGCCTTGTACCCCCCCTCAGTGCATGTGTGAGGAGCAGCAGCAGAGCACCCACGAGCTTGGTGCGTGTGTGGGGGCACCAGCAGAGCACCCCCACACTCAGTGCATGCACTGGGGGCACCGTGCATGCATTAGGGGCACCAGTAGCACACCCCCAAACTCCGTGCATGCATGGGGGGGGGCAGCAGCAGAGCACTCACCAGCTCAGTGCATGCCTGGGGGACCTCCCCTCGTGCCTCAGTTTCCCCCACTGCACCCTCTATGCCCAGGCCAGCAGCGGCACCTGCGGGGCAGTCCCCTCCCGCAGCCAGGGTTATTTTGGGGCGCCCGCCGTCTGTGCAGTGAGGGGGGGGGGAACGCCACGATTCCCACCCATTGTGCGGGTGAGAGGGTAAATCCCCCCCGGGCTCCGCGCCGGCCCCCAGCGCCTGCTTAATCCGCCTGCGCTTGTTTGCACAGCAAAGTGCTGCCCCGACGGATTCCTCCTCGCCAGCCTGCACTGGGCGCCAGTGTGTGTGTGTGGGGGGGGGGAGCAGGCCCTCATCCCCCCCCCCCGGCACTGCTGGGAACCGCGGTGGGTGCTGGGGGCACCCAAGGGGGCAGCCGGCAGGGTGCTGGTGCCCGTTCGCGTGTGCACACGGGGGCATTGCAGCTGCAGGGTGTGGATGCGTGGTGCTTTGTCGCCGTGCATGCAAGTCCCCGTGTTGCTGCGTGCACAAGGTTGTGCACAGGAATGCGGTGGGTGGGCGGCGGGGGGGGGGCGCGAGATGAGCTCATCCCCCCCCCCCCCAGCTCCCTCTTCCCAGCCGCGCCGGCCGTGGTGACTCCACCGCCCAGCTATGCAGCCCCGGCCCTGCCAGCAGCGGAGCCCCGGTGACGTGGCCTGGCGGTGATGGCCATGTGTCCCCCCCCCCTCCAGGTGACCCACGGTGCCAGGGGTCTGGCCGAGACCACGTTCCCTGAGGACACGGTGGCCGACCGCGTTGGGGGCGCGCGGGGGGCGGCGGTACTACGCCCAGCTCTCCGATGACGAGGACCTGCTGGCAGATGAGGCGTCCGGGGGTAATGTGGCACGGGGTGGCACTGGGGGACGCGCACGCACACAGGGCTGCGTGGTCCCTGGGTGTCCCCGAGGGCTCACGGTGTTGCTCCCGCAGATGGCAGTGGGGAGTACGGCAGCGGTGACATCCAGCTGGTGGCCGGGAGCCCCTCGGTGCCTGGCGTTGGGCTGGCACCCACCGGTAAGGGGACGCCTCTGGGTGGCACCGGTGCCCGCGGGACACTGCGCTCCTCTGCGCTGCGCTCAAGCTCTGTCTCTTCTCCATCCTCTCTGCTCTCCTTCCTCCTCCTCCTCCTCCTCGGCGGGCAGTGCCCGTGCCCCCGCCAGCAGGCATGGTGGTGGCCGAGCCCGAGGATGACCCCCCGCTGAGTAAGTGCCACTTCTTGTGACCCCCCCCCCCGCCACCTTCCGACTTTTTCTCAGTCCTGTGGGCTGGTTTCCTTCAGTGGCGGGGGGCTGGCTGATGCGGGGGGGTGCTGCTGGGGTTGGGGGTACCTGAGGGGTATTTTTTGGGATGCCAACACCCTCTCCTCTTCCCCCCCCCCCCAGTTTATTTCCGGGCGCTGGTGAACTTCACCCACAGCATCGACTACAGCCCCCGGCTGGAGGATGCCAATTCAGACGAGTTTCGGGAGGTCTCAGAGGCCGTGGTGGATACTGTAAGTGGGGCGCGCCAGGGGGGAACCCCCAGCCCAGGTTTTGGTGGGGGGCACCCAAGGGTGCGCCCTCACCCCCTGTGCTTCCCCTGCTTCAGCTGGAGTCAGAGTATTACAAGATCCCTGGGGACCAAATGGTCAACGTGGTGTTCATCAAGTGAGTGGGGGCATGGGGGGCAACGGGGAGGTTTGGGCACGCAGGGGAGGTTTGGGGAGGATGAGAAGATTTGGGGGTAATGGGGAGGCTTGGGGTGCAGGGGAGGCTCAGGAGTTATGGGAAGGTTTGAGGTGCAGGGGAAGTGTGGTGGGGTGTGGGGAGGTTGGGGGACATGGCTGGATTTGGGGTGCAGAGGAGGTTTGGGAGGGTGGAGAGGTTTTGGGGTGCAGGGAAGTTTGGAGGCAGAGGGAGGTCTGGGGATGAGATGCTTTGGGGAGTGCAGAGGAGGTGTGGGGGCATGAGAAGTTTTGGGGTGCGAGGGAGGTACAGGGTGCAGGGGAGGTTTTGGGGGAGCAGGAAGTTTGGGGGTACATGGGGGTTGGGGTGGGGGCTTTGAGGTGCTGACCCCCTGCCCACAGGGAGCTGGAGGGCAGCGTCTTCGTGGAGCTGGATGTGGGCTCAGAGGGCAACGGGGACGAGGCGCAGATCAGGGCCGTGCTGCAGGACGTGGTGGCTGCTGGCTCCATCGCCTCCTTCGTCACCTCGCCCGTCGGCTTCCAGTTCCGACGCCTGGGGGCCGGTGAGCACCAGGGGGGCACAGAGCACCCCCCCACCCTAAACCTCAATTGCGGGGCCACTGGGGACAGCACGGGGTCCTGCGTGCCAGCACGCCTTGAGCCCCCCATTTTTTGCCGTTTGCATTGTGATACCTAAGAGTGGGTGATGGGGGGGACAGGACACAGGACACCCCCCCTGACAGTAGCCCCCCCCCCCGTGCAGTGACCCCTCATCTGCGCCCCTGCACTGCCCTGGAGTTCTCCTGCGGCAGTGGCGAGTGCATTGCCCAGGAGTACCGCTGCGACCGCCGCCCCGACTGCCGCGACGCTTCGGATGAGCAGGGCTGCGGCGAGCCCCCCCCAGCCACCTCTCCGGCGCGCCCCGTGCCCCCCAGCACAGGCCCGGCCCGCCACCACCCGCCCGCTGGTCACCATCCCTGCCACCACCCGCCGCCCCCTGCCACCCAAAGCTGGGTGCCGGCCAGCCGAGGCCACCTGCTGCCGATGGGCGGCTGCGTGCCCCGTGACTACCTCTGCGATGGCGAGCGCGACTGCGCCGATGGCAGCGACGAGGAGGACTGCGGTGAGTTAGCGGGGGGGTGGCGGCGGTGGCGGTGGCACCCCCCCGGGGTGGGTGCTGACACCCTGCCCCCACCAGGCACCCCGTCGCCCTGCGAGCCCAATGAGTTCAAGTGCCGCAATGGGCACTGCGCCCTGAAGCTGTGGCGCTGCGATGGGGACAACGACTGCGGGGACGGCTCAGATGAGACCGACTGCCGTGAGTGTGGCTGGGAGCAGTGGGGACGTGTGGTGACACGGCTCCGGCTGATGGCTGCTGTTCCTTGTAGCCACCAAGGCGCCCGGTGCGGCGTGTGGGCCAGACCAGTTCAGCTGCGTAGCCAGCGGGACCTGCATCCCCGCCAGCTACCACTGCGACGAGGAGCCCGATTGCCCCGACCGCTCCGACGAGGTTGGCTGCAGTAAGTGGCACCCGGGGCCATGGGGACACCGGACAGGGGTTGGGGACAGCGTGTCGTGGCACTGTGCTGGGGACACCGCACCCAAGTGGGGGGGGGCGCAGTGATGAGGACAGTGCGCTGCTGCGCACGGCTGGGAGACGGTGCCGGGGACACTGCGCCCAAGCTGTGGCGTGGCTGGGGACCCTGATGTGGCACCGTGCTGGGTGCCGTGCTGGTGACACTGCCAGCCAAATGGGGCAGGGGTCCCTGGGCTGGGCACCCCGTGCCCAAGCTGTGCCGTGCTGGGGTCCCTGTGCCGTGTCACCCAGCATGGTGCCATGGAACCCCGCGTCCCCCGAGCTGGGCGGGAGACCTCGTGGCGTGGCACCGTGCTGGGGCGCTGGGGTCCCCGCAGCCGGGGGCGCTGGGCGCAGGGGGTGACACGCGTGCCCTGCAGTGCCGCCGCAGGTGGTGACGCCGCCGCAGGAGTCGGTGCAGGCGGTGCCGGGGCAGACGGTGAGCTTCACCTGCGCCGCCACCGGCGTGCCCACCCCCATCATCACCTGGCGCCTCAACTGGGGGAACATCCCCCCCAGCCGCAGGTGGGTGGGGCCCCGGGAGGGTGGGGCCCAAGGGAGGGGCGAGGTCAAGGGGTGGGGGGGGGGGGGGCGAGGGGGGGACATCTCCCCATGGGGCTTCTGTGTGGGTGGGGCTTGCAGGAGGGGTGTGGCCAACGGTGGGCGTGGGGTGAGGTTTGGGGAGGGGTCTGCAAGGGTGGGGCTCACGCAAGGGGCGTGGCTGTGGGGTGGGAGGAGCTTTGGGGGGGGGCTCAGCAAGGGGCAGGGTTGTGCCCAAGGCTGGTCCTTGTGCTGGGTGGCATGGTGTGCCGGGCACCAAGCGTGTCGTGCACCAGGTGTGTCATGCACCAGTTGTGTTGTGCACCGAGCGTGTCATGCGCCAATTGTGTTGTGCACTGAGCGTGTCGTGCACAAGGTGTGTCATGCACCAGGTGTGTCATGCACCAGTTGTGTTGTGCACCGAGCGTGTCATGCGCCAATTGTGTTGTGCACTGAGCGTGTCATGCACCAGGTGTGTCGTGCACCAAGCGTGTCATGCACCAGGTGTGTCGTGCACCAGTTGTGTTGTGCACTGAGCGTGTCGTGCACAAGGTGTGTCATGCACCAGGTGTGTCGTGCACCAAGGATGCTGTGCACCAAGTGTGCTGTGCACCCAGCACGCCATGTGCCAAGCACGCCGTGCACTGAGCGTGCGGTGCCGTGAGCGTGCGGTGCAGTGAGCATGCCGTGCAGGGTGTCCATCGTGAGCGAGGGCGGGCAGGGCACACTGACTATCCGGGACGTGAAGGAGGCTGACCAGGGCGCCTACACTTGTGAGGCCATCAACACCCGCGGCATGGTCTTCGGCATCCCCGACAGTGTCCTCACTGTCACCCCCCGCCCCGGTGAGCATCCCCAGCTGCCGCCACCTCCCCGTCCTTTGCTCCTGTCCCTGCGCCCTCACCTGATCCCCTCCCCGTCCCCGCAGGTCCCTGCCCCGAGGGCCACTTCCAGGTGACGGGCACATCCCGCTGCCTGCCCTGCTTCTGCTTCGGTGTCACCACCGCCTGCCGTGCCACCGCCCGCCACCGCCACCGCCTGCATCTGCGCTTCGACCGCCCTGATGACTTCAAGGGTAAGTCGCCGGGACAGGGGGACAGGGCGCAGGGAGGGGGGCGACACACAGGGCTGAGCCTCTCCCCACAGGTGTCAATGTGACGGTGCCATCAACTCCGTCCCTGCCGGCGCTCTCAGCCACCCAGCTGCATGTGGATGTGGCCACTGAGGAGTTCCAGCTCCTGGACCTGTCCCGGCGCTTCCTGGCTCTCGATGCTTTCTGGGCGCTGCCGGCCCCCTTCCTGGGTGACAAGGTGACCGTGGGGCAGCAGCAGGGCTGGGGACACCCCGGCACAGCTGCTGACACCGCGCTGCCCTTGCCAGGTGGACGCCTACGGTGGGGCACTGAGCTACAGCGTGCGCTACCGGCTGGGCCGGGGGCCCCCTGAGCCAGCCCCCCGCCCCGACGTGCTGCTGCGGGGCCGGGGCCGCCAGCTCCAGGCGCGTGCTGGGGACACCCAGCCTGACATCCTCAACCAGCGCCGCATCCCCTTCACCGAGGTGGGTGCACTGGGGACGGGCACCGAAGGGCGCTGATGGGTGCTGGTGGCACCCTGGGGTGACGCCGGTGCTCACCATCCCCACAGGACAACTGGGAGGACGAGACAGGCGCTCCGGTGAGCCGGGAGCTGCTGCTGATGGTGTTGCAGGAACTGGAGGGCATCTTGGTGCGGGCGGTGTATGATGGGCGCATGGCCAGCGTGGGGCTCAGCGACGTGGCCATGGATATCACCAGTCCTGGGGACACCGGCCTGGCACCTGCCGGGGATGTTGAGGAGTGCAGGTGACTGGCGGTGGCTTGTGGGCACTGGCAAAGCAACGCACCCACTGGTGTGGTGTCACCAGCGCAGTGCCACCGTCATGGTGCCACCATCACACCTCTGTGTCCCCAGGTGCCCCGTGGGCTACACGGGGCTGTCGTGCCAGCGGTGTGCCGCCAATTTCGAGCGGGTGCCGCAGGGACCCTACCTTGGGACCTGCTCGGGCTGCAGCTGCCATGGCCACTCCAGCACCTGCGACCAGGTCTTTGGGCACTGCCTGGTAAGGACAGGGACACTGGGACAGGGGACATGGGGCCAGGGGCTCAGCCACATGGCAGTGCCACCAACCCCTATGCCGTCCCCGCAGAACTGCCAGCACAACACGGAGGGTCCCCAGTGCGAGAAGTGCAAACCTGGCTTCTTCGGCGATGCCACGCAGGGCACGGCCACCGCCTGCCGCCCCTGCCCCTGCCCCTACACTGAGCCATCCCGCAGGTGGGTGCTGCCCCAGGAGGTTGGGGGGGAACTGGTGGCACATCACTGGCCCCATGTCACCATCACCTCGCCCGCAGGTTCTCTGAGTCGTGCTTCCTGGACACAGATGGCCAGGCCACCTGCGACGCCTGCGCCCCCGGCTATGCTGGCCGCCGCTGCGAGAGGTGGGTGGGCAGGGGGTGGTGAAACGCGGGCTGGGAGCATGGGCACCCCTGGCCCCCTCCCACGGGCCCCTGTCCCCATCCTCCCCCAGGTGCGCCCCAGGCTATGAGGGAGACCCCATCCAGCCAGGCGGCAAGTGCACCCGCATCGGTGAGTGCTGTCCCGTGTCCCCCCGTGCCCCCCCAGCTCTGCCTGTTCCTCACCGTCTCTCCCCGCAGGCCAGGAGCTCATCAAGTGTGATACACGTGGAGGCAAGGACGCGGTGGGCGGCACGTGCCGCTGCAAGGTGGGTGTCCACCTGCCCCAAACCCGCAGCACCCAGGCTGGTCCCTGCAGCACCCAGCCCTGTCCCCCGCGGCACCCAGTTCATTTTCCCCAGCACCCAGTTCCCCACAGCATCCCTGTGGCACCCAGTCCAATTCCCCAGGGTTTTCCAGTCCTCCCACAGCACCCAGTTTGTCAGTCCTCCTGGCACCTAGGTTTCCAGCCCCCTGCAGCACCCAGTTTCCCCATCCCCACAGCACCTGTTTTCCCAGTCCCTGTCCCCTCTTGCAGCCCAACGTGACGGGGCGGCAGTGCGATGAGTGCGCGGCCGGGACCTTCCACCTGAGCGATGCCAACCCCGACGGCTGCCTCAAGTGCTTCTGCATGGGCGTCTCGCGGCAGTGCGCCAGCTCCTCCTGGAGCCGTGACCAGGTACCCTGTGCCAGTGCCGTGTTGTGCTGTGCCACGTTGTGCCGTGCTCTGCTGTGCCATGGTGCACCACGCTCTGCCTTGTGTTGTGCCATGGTGTGCACTGCCAAGCAGCACCGTACCATGTCCCATGCCCCTGTCCCCCACCCCTGCAGGTCCGTGTCACTGCTGAGGAGGTGTCGCCACTGCACCTGACCAACCTGGCAGGCACGGGGACGATGATCAAGGGCTCACGCTTCGCTGCCCCACGGGAGCTCGTCTTCTCCGACTTCTACACACTGCCCCGTGACGTCTACTTCTGGGTTCTGCCCACGTCCTTCACCGGAGACAAGGTGCAGTGGTGGGGACGAGGGGGGGGACAGCAGGGCGTCCCTGAGCCCGGCTGAGCCCTGTCCCCATGCAGGTGACATCGTACGGGGGCGAGCTGCAGTACACGGTGACGCACCACGCGCCAGCAGATGCCCAGCCACTGCAGCGGCAGCCCGACGTCCTGCTGCAAGGCAACGGCATCTTCCTGGAGCACTTCTCTGATGCCACCCCTGTGCCCGGTGTCCCCACCACTGTCACCGTGCCCTTCCGCGAGGTGAGAGCTGGCGTCCCCCTGGGGTGGGCGCTGGGGCTCTGGGGACACATCGGTCACCGCGGGGCTGTGCCTGCAGCACGCTTGGCGCCGGGCAGATGGGCGCGAAGCCACCCGGGAGCACCTCCTGATGGCCCTGGCCGACATCGATGTCCTCATGATCCGCGCATCCTACACAGACCAGCCGATGGAGAGCAGGTACCGGGGCGGCGTGGTGCTGGCTGGGGACAGGGGACAGGTGGGCAGGGCGGTGGGGACATCCTGTACATCCTGGCTCGCCCTGCAGGCTCGCTGATGTCCGCCTGGACGTGGCCGTGCCCCATGCCACCGGCCGGGCACCGGCGCTGGAGGTGGAGGACTGTGCCTGCCCCCCCGGCTACCGCGGCCCCTCCTGCCAGGTGAGCCCCCCGCTGTCCCCATGGCTCTGGGGATGCAGCCTGGTGGCTGACACCCGTCCCTGTCCCCGCAGGACTGCGACGTGGGCTACACCCGCAGCACCAGCGGGCTCTACCTGGGCACCTGTGAGCGCTGCCAGTGCCATGGGCACGCCGACGAGTGCCATCCTGAGACGGGCGAGTGCCAGGTGAGCCCAGCGCTGGCATGGGGACAGCATGGGGGGCATGGTGGGGACCCCCTCGCCGTGCCAGCATCTCCCTCTCCCCCCAACACCAGGGCTGCCGGGACCACACGGAGGGCACGCAGTGTGACAAGTGCCAGCCTGGCTACTACGGCGATGCCACCCGTGGCACCCCGGGAGACTGCCGGCCCTGCCCCTGCCACGGGCCCCACACTGACACCCAGTAGGTGCCCCCCACCTCCTCCCCAGTGCCCCCAGGGGCCACCAGCTGGGGCTCACCCATCGCCCTGCCCTCCCCTCTCCCATGCAGGAGCTGCTTTGAGGACACAGACGGGCAGCCCACGTGCAGTGCCTGCGCCCCGGGACACAGTGGGCGCCTCTGCGAGAGGTGCGGGAGATGCTGGGGTGGTGGTGGGGTGGCAGGGGTTTTGGGGACCCCCCTCATTGGCTTATTTCATGCCCCCTCAAAGGTGCTCACCTGGCTACGTGGGGGACCCGCTGCGGGGAGAGCCATGCCAAGGTGAGTGTCCTGGGGAGGGGATAACGCCGTGTTCTCTGTTGGGGTCCCCACCTAACCACTGCCCCCCCCCATGTGATATCCCCAGAGCCAGGGGCCACCGGTGACCAGTGCCAGTGCGACCAGCAGGGCAGCATTGGTGAGCGCTGCGATGCCAGCGGGTTGTGCCAGTGCAAGGTGAGCCCTGTCCCCATGCCGTGCCATGTCCCCACATCGGTGGGGAGGGACAAAACCACAGCGTCACCCTCCCCGTCCCCTGCAGGCCAACGTGGAGGGTCCCCGCTGTGCCACCTGCCGCCCCCACCACTTCCACCTGAGCGCCGAAAACCCGGCAGGCTGCCTGCCCTGCTTCTGCATGGGCATCGTCCAGCACTGTGCCAGCACCTCCTACTCCCGCGACACAGTGAGTCCCTGTCCCCACGGGTCCCCACGCAGTCCCCCAGTGTCCCCAGGCCACTCACCCGCCCTGCCCCACAGGTCCGGACGCCCTTCGGCCCCGGGAGCTGGCAGGGCTTCGCGCTGGTGAACCGGCAGCGCAGCACCCGCGTGGCCACCGGCTTCAGCGTGGAGATGGGCGCCGCGGGGCCCCGGCTCACCTACGGGCGCTTCGGGGAGCTGTCCCCTGAGTCCTACTACTGGCAGCTGCCCCAACCCTACCAGGGGGACAAGGTAACGGCCGGCACACAGGGGTGCCCCCTCCTCGGAGTGCCCCTTGGGACCCCCAGCTCCGTGGGCACCCCTGGGTGCTCGCCCCGGCACGGTTAGCACAGGGAGGTGGACGCAGGCTCCCAGTGCCTCCTGCTTCCTCCCCCCTTCCTTTTCTCTTCTCCATTTCTTCCCTTTTCCTTTTATTTTCATTTTTTCTCCTTCTTATCCTTTCTCTTCCCTTTTAATTTTCCTTCTTAATTTTTCATTTCCTCTTCTTCCTTTTTCCTCTTCCCTTTCCCTTTCCTCTTTTTCCTTGCCTTTCCCCTTCCACTTTTATCTTCTTTCCTTTTCTTTTCCCTTTTCTTTTTGATTTTATTTTCCATTTCCTTCTCCTTCTCTTCTTCCCTTTTCCTTTTTCCTTTTTCCCTTTTCCCTTTTATTGTTTCCTTTTCCCTTTTTCCCCTTTCCCTTTTTTTCTCTTTTTTATTTTTTCCCTCTTTTCCCTTCCCCTTTCCCTTCCCCTGCCCGTTCCCTCTTTTCCATCCCCTTCCTCCCTTCCCCCTCAACCTCCCCAGCTCCCCAGAGGCCTTTCCCCAGGGCCAACCCTCAGCTCCCTGCAGGGCAGAACCCGGGGGGGTCCCCACACATGCACTGGGGCGCCCCCATTCCCACCTCCCCTTTTCCCACCCGCAGGTGGGCTCCTACGGCGGGCGGCTCCGCTACACCCTCAGCTACAGCCCAGGGGGCCGGGGGGCCCCCCTGCCTGATGCCGACATCCAGATCACGGTAGGGGGGTGACAGTCTGGGGGGAGCTGGGGAGGGGGTACGGCAGCAGAACCTCCCTGACCCCCCCCCGTATCCTCAGGGCAACGACATCACGCTGGTGGCATACCAGCCTGACCTGCCCCCCGGCACACCGCACGACTTCGAGATCGTTTTTCGGGAGGTAGGAGCAGGCACCTGCCTTTGGTCCCCAGCGCCTGGCACCCCCTGGCACCCGGGGGGTGGGTGCCGAGGTGGTGCCCCCCCCTAACAGCACCTCCCTGCCCGCAGCAATACTGGCAGCGGCCGGATGGGCAGCCGGCCACACGGGAGCATCTCCTGATGGCGCTGGCCGACCTGGACGAGATCCTGATCCGTGCCACCTACTCCACCAGCACGGCCGCGTCCAGCATTGCCGGTGTCAGCATGGACGTGGCCGTGCCCCCCCGGCCTGGCCTCCCCCCGGCACTGGAGGTGGAGGAGTGCCGCTGCCCCCCCGGCTACCGTGGCCTCTCCTGCCAGGTGAGCCGGCCCCCGGCGTGCCTGGTGTGCTCCGGGTCTGTGGGGAGGTGTGGGGGGGTCACGGTGCTGAGCCCCCCCATCCCTGCTCCTTCTTGCAGGACTGTGCCCCCGGCTACACACGTACCGGGGGGGGGCTGTACCTGGGGCACTGCGAGCTCTGCGAGTGCAACGGCCACTCGGAGACCTGCCACCCCGAGAGTGGCCTCTGCTCTGTAAGTCCCCCTGGGGGGGTCATGGCACCCTGCGGCTTTTTGGGGTGCTGGGGCCATCTCCCAGTGCCATGCACCCCCATTCTTCTGTCCCCCCCCCCCTTCCAGGGCTGCTTGCACAACACGGCAGGGGACTTCTGTGACCAGTGTGCGCCCGGCTTCTATGGGGACGCCACTGCCGGCACCCCTGAGGACTGCCAGCCCTGCGCCTGCCCTCTCGTGCACCCCGAAAACCAGTGAGTGTTTGTAGGGGCTTAGAGGTAGGGAAGTGCAGGCAGGGGATGGTCCCTGATGCTTCCCTGTCCCCCCAGGTTCTCGCGGACCTGTGAGAGTTTGGGAGGCGGTGGGTACCGCTGCACCGCCTGCGCGCCGGGCTACGCCGGGCAGTACTGCGAGCGGTGAGTGCTGCAGGGGCACCCCGATGGTGCCAGCCCAGTACCCTCGCCCTGACATCCCCCATCTCAATGTTGTTCCCATATCCTTGCCCCAACATCCCCACTGCAATATCGTCACCCCCAAGTCCTCAGTTTAATGTCCCCATCCCAGCATCCTCACCCCAGTGTTCCCACCCTGATATCCCCACCCCAACGTCCTCCCCCCGACCTGCCCCCAATAACACCCCCGGTATGTTCAGCTGATATCCCCGATTCCCCATATTCCCACTCCAATATAATCACCCCGATATCTTCACCGCAACATCCCCATCTCGATATCTCTACCCCTCTATATTGACTCTGATGTCATCACCCCCATATCCCCATCCCAACATTCTCACCTTGATATCCCCATCCTGATGTCTTCGCCATATCGCCCCTCCAGTTACCTCAACATCCCCTTCCCAATATCCTACCCACGTCTCCACCCCAGTATCCTCACCCCAACATCCCCGTCTCGATATCTCCACCCCTATATACCCACCCCAACGTCATCACCTCCATATCCCCATCCCCATATCTCCACCTCAGAGTCTCCACCCCAACATCTCCATCCTGTTATCTCCACTCCAACTTCCACACCCCGATATTCCCACCCAGTATCTCACCCCAACACCCCCCCACATCCTCACCCCGTGCTCCCCCCTGCAGGTGTGCTCCTGGCTACGTGGGGGACCCCAGCGTGCGGGGCCAGACGTGCGTGCCGCAGGGCTCGTCGCCCCCCCTCGCTGTCCGCGTGCACCCACCGCGCACGGCGGTGCCGCAGGGCAGCCCGGTGACGCTGCGCTGCCAGGCCAGTGGGGACCCCCCCTTCTACTACCACTGGTCACGGGAGGATGGGCGGCCCCTGCCCAGCAGCGCCCAGAGCCGGCAGCAAGGTAGGGGGCTGGGGATGGGGTTGGGGATAGGGATGGGGATGGGGACCGGGACACCAGGGTCTCACCCGCCCCACGCTGCCAGGTGAGGAGCTGCACTTCGCCAGCATCCAGCCCGCCGAGGCTGGCGTCTATGTCTGTTCCTGCCGCAACCTGCAGCACAGCAACGCCAGCCGGGCCGAGGTCATCGTCACCGGTAGGGCACGGTGGTGGCGGTGGGGGGATGGCAGGGGACGGGGCAGGGGACGGGGCTCAGCCCTCTCATCTCGGTGCAGAGACACCCACCAAGCCCATCACCGTCACCGTGGAGGAGAAGAGGGTGCAGCGGGTGAAACCCGGGGCTGATGTCACCTTCATCTGCACGGCCAAGAGCAAGGTGAGCTGGGGGGGCATGCGGGCACCCTTGGGTGCTCACTACATTGTTTGGGCACCTGTGCGTGCTTTCTGGGTCATGCAGGGCACATGGGTACTCTTGTGTGCCAACATTATCACACAGGCCCCATAGCCACCCACGTGGCACACACAGACACCCCTGGGTGCCTACCTGGTCCTGCAGGGTGCAGGGTCATCCCTGGGTGCCCACGAGGCCACAAAGGTCATTCAGAAGCCCCTGTGCACCCATGGAGCAGCGCGTGGCACCCAGACACCCCTGGGTGCCCACCTGGGCATTGGGACACCTTTAGGTGCCCACCCATCTCCATGCAGGTGCCCACCCGGACCCACAGGACCCATGGACACCCCTGCGTGCCCATCAGGCCCTTCCTCACCTCCCTCTTCCCCCCTCACCCCCCAGTCACCTGCCTACACCCTAGTGTGGACGCGCCAGAACCACGGGACGCTGCCGTCGCGCGCCATGGACTTCAACGGCATCCTGACCATCCGCAACGTGCAGCCCGAGGACGCCGGCGTCTACGTCTGCACCGGCTCCAACATGCTGGACATGGACGAGGGCACGGCCACGCTCTACGTCCAGGGTGTGTTCCCAAGCCCGAGGGGCACCGGGTGCTCTGCACCCCCAAACTGGCAGGGGTTGAGCCGCGGGGACCCCGAGCGTTGTTTCTGTGTTGGCGCGGGTGAAAGCTTCTTCTGGAAAACCTGGTTCCATTGAGGAGCCCGGACACCGGGGTTATGGGCTCGCGTGCCCCAACTTTAAACTTGACCCCCCCCCTTTTGCAGCCCCTTCGAAGACCCAGATGTTTTATGGACCCGTTGAGTTCATGGAGGGGCACAGACCCGGTGAGTCACAAGGGGGACATCTTGTGGGGGGGCCACACACACCCCCTGCCCGCTGCATGCCAGGGCTCCACCGCGCACCCCGCGCCACACCACCCCCCTGCTTTGTGCCACCCCTTGGGGACAGCACCAGGGGTGGCGCTGGCACACTCTGAACCCCCCACGTGTCACCGCAGCTGCCACCGCCACCGCTCCCACCGCCACCGTGGAGCCGGCGCAGCTGAGTGTGGCACCGGGGCAGCCGGCCGAGTTCCACTGCGTGGCCACTGGCAGCCCCACGCCCACTGTTGAGTGGCTCGGTAGGTGCTCGCCACACGCGGGGACCCAGGGACCAGGATGGGGGACGTGGCAGGGGTGACGTGGCGTCCTGTCCCCGCAGGCGCGCTGCCACCACAGGCGGTCGCCCACGGCGGGACGCTGCGGTTCAGCGCCGTCGAGCCGTCTGACCAGGGGCACTACATGTGCCGCGCGCGCAGCAGCGCCGGCCAGCACACGGCGCGGGGTTACCTCCATGTGCAAGGTGAGTGTTGTCCCCCAGCGTCCCCAATTTCCTCATCCCGGTGCTGGCACTGACCCCGTGCTGCCTGCAGGCGCCGGTGAGCCCCAGGTGCAGGTGAGCCCGGAGCGGACGGAGGTGCAGGAGGGCTCCACGGTGCGGCTGTACTGCCGGGTGTCGGGGTCACCCACTGCCACCATCTCCTGGGAGAAGCAGGGGGGCTCCCTGCCACCACAGGTGAGGCGGGTGTGAGCACCCATGGGTGCTCCCCTGGGGTGGTTGCCACTCACCCCATTGCCCCATGGGGTGATTGGGTGCCGCTCACCCCCTCCCCACGCCGCAGTCCCGCTCTGAGCGCACGGACATCGCCACGCTGCTCATCCCCTCCATCACGGTGGCTGATGGTGGCATCTACCTCTGCGTGGGCACCAGCGCCGCTGGCACAGCCCGCGCCAGCATCGAGGTGGTGGTGGTGCCAGGTGAGGGTTAGGGGTGCCGCTCTGGGGACACCACTGGGGTTTGGGGATGGTTTTTGGGACACCCTGGGTGCCTGCCAGAGCTGCAGCCTGCCCCGCTCCCCGCAGGGGCCGCGCCACCTGTCCGCATCGAGTCCTCGTCCCCCTCTGTCACCGAGGGACAGACCCTGGACCTCGACTGCGTGGTGGCAGGATCTGGCCACGTCACTGTCACCTGGTACAAGCGCGGCGGCTCCCTGCCCGCCGGCCACCAGGTAGGGCACGGGCAGTGGGAATGTCACCCCAAATCTTGCCCTGTCCCCCTCTCTCTGACACTGATGTGTCCCCACCAGGTGTCGGGGTCCCGTCTTCGCGTCCCCCACATCACAGCAGCTGATTCGGGCGAGTACGTGTGCCGGGTGAACTCGGGAGCCACTGTCCGGGAGGCGTCTGTCATCGTCACCGTCGTGTCCAGCTCCGGGCTGTCCTATGGTGAGGCTGGGCTCGGCGCTGGGGGTGGCCCTGGGTGGTGTCCCATCTCCCTGCCATCGCTCCATCCTCCTTCCCAGGGCCACCAGGCTCGGGTGGCACAGCTCCCGTCAGGATCGAGGCGTCCTCCTCCACCGTGGCTGAGGGACAGACCCTGGACCTCAACTGTGTCATTGCCAGCCCTGTGCAGGCCACTGTCACCTGGTACAAGCGCGGCGGGTCCCTGCCGGCCAGGCACCAGGTAGGGGACACGGAGGGCTCTGTGCCCAGGGTGCAGACGGTTGGGGTTGACCCATGGCCCCATGGCTACGTGCAAGCCCAGATGGCCGCATGCAAATCCAAAATCCTGTGCAAGCTTGAGTGGTCCTGGGAAAGCACAAATGGCATTTGGGCAAGCCAAAATGGTCCCGTGCAAGCTCAAGTGTCCCTGTGCAAGGCCAGATGATGTCCAGGCAAGCTTCAGTGGCCACGTGCAAATTGGAGTTGTGCTGGGCAAGCCCAAATGGTGCTTGTGCAAGCCCAGATGTCCCCATGCAAGCCAAGTGCCCCTGGGCAAGCCAGAGTGGCCCCGTGCAACCCCATCAGCCCCTTGCAGGCTTTAACGTCCCCATGTCCCCTCCCACAGGTGTCCGGCTCCCGGCTGCGGCTGCTGCAGGTGACAGCAGCCGACTCGGGCGAGTACGTGTGCCGGGTGAGCAGCGGGGCCACCACCAAGGAAGCCACCGTCATGGTGACGATCCAGCCCAGCACAGCCGGCTCCTACCGTGAGTGGGGACCGGGGGGTGGCACTACCCATGGGCTGTCCCCATGTGCTGTGGCACCGAGATGGCTCTAACGTGCTCTTGCCAGCGGGGCCCAGCTGTTGTCACAGTGTCACTCTCCTGTCTTGGTCCCCAGCCCCAGGTGGCACAATGCCACTGCACATCGAGTCCTCGTCCTCCACCGTGACTGAGGGACAGACCCTGGACCTCAACTGTGTCATCGCCAGCCCTGCGCAGGCCACTGTCACCTGGTACAAGCGCGGCGGGTCTCTGCCGGCCAGGCACCAGGTAGGGGACACGGAGGGCTCTGTGCCTGGGGTGCAGACGGTTGGGATTTACGCATGGCCCCGTGTGTGCCCCTGTGTCCCCATGCAAGCTGATGTGTCCCCATGCAAGCCCAGTGCCCCCAGTGCAATGCCAAGCAGCCCTGTGCAAGCCCAGGTGTTCCCACGCAACCTCTGATGGCCCCATGCAAGCTCTGGTGGCCCCATGCAATGCCACAGGGCCCCATGCAAGCCTAAATAGCAACCAGGCAAGCTCAAGTGGACACATGCAAGCTTGAGTGGTCCTGGGCAAGCCCGTGCAAGCCGAAGCAGCACTGTGCAAGCCCCGGTGGCCCCATGCAACCCCATCAGCCCCATGCAGGCTCTAACATCCCCGTGTCCCCTCCCGCAGGTGTCTGGCTCCCGGCTGCGGCTGCTGCAGGTGACAGTGGCCGACTCGGGCGAATATGTATGCCGGGTGACCAGTGGGGCCACCACCAAGGAAGCCACCATCGTGGTGACAATCCAGCCCAGCGCAGCCGGCTCCTACCGTGAGTGTGGACCAGGCAGGGACGGGGACATTCTCCGCGGGCAGCTGATGCTCCCTGGAGCAGCCACCCATGGGTGTGCCCATCCCGGTCCCGCTGTCACCAGGGTCCGTGCCCAAGCCCAGCGCTGTGTTTGGGGACGGCCCTGTGTGCACATCTGCAGGGGTGTGGAGCTGCCATCCGGCGATGCAGCGGGTGCCTGGTGGGGAGGGAAGGGGCTGAATCCCCGAAGTGTCCCCAGCCCAGCCCAAGTCCCGCACCTGGTAGCTTACCAGGCTCCTGGTGGCTTCCCAAGCTCCTGGTGTCCCATGGTGGGACACGTGGTGGTGGCGGATCTGTTCTCTGACTGTGCCATCTCCATCCCCAGCCCTGGGCGGAACAATGCCCCTGCGCATCGAGTCCTCGTCCTCCACCGTGGCTGAGGGACAGACCCTGGACCTCAACTGTGTCATTGCCAGCCCTGCGCAGGCCACTGTCACCTGGTACAAGCGTGGAGGGTCCCTGCCGGCCAGGCACCAGGTAGGGGACACGGAGGGCTCCATGCCCAGGGTGCAGACGGTTGGGGTTGACCCATGGCCCTTTGCAAGGCCACCCAGCTACGTGCAAGCTGATGTGGCTCCATGCAAGCCCAGATGTCCCCATGCAAGCCAAGTGCACCTGGGCAAGCCAGAGTGGCCCCGTGCAAACCCCATCAGCCCCTTGCAGGTTCTAACATCCCCGTGTCCCCTCCCACAGGTGTCCGGCTCCCGGCTGCGGCTGCTGCAGGTGACAGCGGCCGACTCGGGCGAGTACGTGTGCCGGGTGACCAGCGGGGCCACCACCAAGGAAGCCACCATCGTGGTGACGATCCAGCCCAGCGCGGCTGGCTCCTACCGTGAGTGGGGACCGGGCAGGGACAGGGCCCCACAGGACCATGTCACTCCACATCCCCACGGGGTGACCCTGCCATCCTGGTCCCCAGCCTCTGGTGTCACCCCCCCGGTGCGCATCGAGTCCTCCTCCTCCTCTGTGGCTGAGGGACAGACCCTGGACCTCGACTGCATCGTGGCCAGCCAGGGCCAGGCCACCATCACCTGGTACAAGCGCGAGGGGTCCCTGCCCGCCAGGCACCAGGTAGGTGGGGACACGGAAGAAGCATTTTGGGACAGAAAGAAGGGTTTTTGGGGTGCTAAAGGCTGTGCGTTCTCCATCCCACGTGTGTCCCCCACAGGTGTCGGGCACCCGCCTGCGCATCCCCCAGGTGTCTGCAGCCGACTCGGGCGAGTACGTGTGCCGGGTGACCACGGGTGGCGTCACTCACGAGACGTCCCTCATCGTCACCATCCAGACCGGCGCTGGCTCCTCTTACGGTACCGGGAATGGGTTCAGCGGGGGGGACACCGGGACACGATGTGGGGCGGCTGCGCGCTGACCCTGCCACCCCGCAGCTGTGGGTGTCACCCCACCCGTGAGGATTGAGACCTCGTCTGCTGCTGTGACCGAGGGACAGACCCTGGACCTCAACTGCATGGTGGCCGGGCAGGGTCACCCCCACGTCACCTGGTACCGGCGGGGGGGGGCTCTGCCCCCCAACAGCCAGGTAGGGCTCAAGGAGCTGGTGTCGCTGTGCAGGGCTCAGCCCCGGACCCTGTCCAGTCCCCGCTCTCGGTGCTGATGTGTCCCCACGTGTCCCCTTGCAGGTGTCAGGCACCCGCCTGCGCCTCGTCCAGGTGTCAGTGGCTGATTCGGGCGAGTACGTGTGCCGGGTCACCCTCGGGAGCACCACGCAGGAGGCATCTGTCATCGTCACCATTCCCAGCAGCGCTGGCACCTACTACTGTGAGTAGGCTACCGGTCTACTACTGCGAGTGAGAGGGCAGTGCTTGGGGATGGGCACGTGCCACCGCGGTGACAAATGTCCCCGTTCCCTGTCCCCAGCCCCCGGTGCCTCCCAGCCTGTCCGCATCGAGTCCTCGTCCTCTGCCATCGCCGAGGGACAGACCCTGGACCTCAACTGCGTGGTGGCCGGGTCCGGCCCCACCACTGTCACCTGGTACAAGCGCGGTGGCTCCCTGCCCGCCGGCCACCAGGTAGAGTGCAGGCAGCAGGGGGGGGTCACCCCAAATCCTGCCCTGTCCCCCCAACCTCCGGTACCAACATGTGTCCCCCCCTGTGACCCCCACAGGTGTCGGGCACCCGCCTGCGCATCCCCCAGGTGTCCGCAGCCGACTCGGGCGAGTACGTGTGCCGGGTGACCACGGGTGGCGTCACGCAGGAGACATCCCTCGTTGTCACCATCGATGACGGTGCCGACCCCTCTCACCGTGAGTGCCACGCCGTGGCTGGGGACGCGGGGACCACACTGGTGCTGGGGGGTGCCTCACCCTTAACTCTGCCCGCGCAGCCACCGGTGTCACACCACCCATCCGCATCGAGTCCTCGGCGTCCTCCGTCACTGAGGGACAGACCCTGGACCTCGACTGCATCGTGGCCGGCCAAGGCCAGGCCACCATCACCTGGTACAAGCGCGGGGGGGCCCTGCCCGCCAAGCACCAGGTAGGGGGGGACGTGGTGGGACAGGGGCTGGTGGCCCTGCGTGCCCAGCTGATGCCACCCCCTGCCACTCCCCCCAGATGTCGGGGTCCCGCCTGCGCCTGTCGCAGCTCTCCGTGGCCGATTCAGGCGAGTACGTGTGCCGGGCAGACGTGGGCAGCACCTCCCGCGAGGCCACCGTCACTGTCACCGTCACCTCCCATGACAGCTCCAGCTACCGTGAGTGTGGCCGTGGGGCGAGGGAGGGCACCGGGGTGGGGAGGGACGTGGGTGACCTCAGTGGCTCCCCTGTCCCCTTGTCCCCACAGGCCTGCAGAGCCCCATCATCTCCATCGACCCGCACAGCATGGCTGTGGCCCCGGGTGAGGATGCCACCTTCAAGTGCCGCATCCATGATGGTGCCCGGCCCATCAATGTCACCTGGCGGATGGGGCCCGGCCAACACCTCCAAGGTACAGTGGTCCCTGGGGTGGCCCCAGCGTGGGGACACCACGGTGGCTCCGGTGCTGACACCTCCTCCTTGCCCAGACAATGTGAAGATCAGCACCAACGGCTCCGTCATCTCCATCACCGGCGCCCACGCAGGCAACCAGGGCGCCTACCACTGCGTGGCCTCCAACCGCTTCGGCGTCGCCAGCAGTGTTGTCAACCTCCTGGTGCAAGGTGCGAGGTGGCCGGGGTGTCCCCATCCCTGTCCCTGTGTCCTCCCCATGCTCCAGGTGCTCCTAGGGTGCTGGTGGTGTCCATATCCTTATCTCTATTCTGTTGTCCCCGGGGTGGTTGTGGTGTCCCCACCCCCATGCTGATGTCCTCTATTTGCTGTAGGTGCCCCTGGGGTGGTGGTGTCCCCATCCCCGTGTCCTCTCTGTGGGCCAGGTCCCGCAGGGTGGTGGTGACCCCATCCCTGTCCCCTTGCCGATGTTCTCCAGATGCGCTTGGGGTGGTGTTGTCCCTGATGTCCTCATCAAGCTTCAGGTGCTCCTGGGGTGGTGATGTCCACGTCCCAGTGCAAATATCCTCTAGGTGCCTCTGGGGTGGCTGTATCCCGACCACCATCCCCATGCTGATGCCCTCTGTCCTCCAGGTTCCCCCGGAGTAGCAGCGTCCCTATGGCCATGCTGATGTCCTGCAGGTGTCCCCAGCATGGTGGTGTCCCCATGCCTATCCCTGCCCTGATGCCCTCCTTGTTCTCCAGGTGCCCCCACCGTGTCGGTGATGCCCCCAGGCCCCGTGACAGTGAAGGAGGGCAAATCCCTCAGCCTGGAGTGCCTGGGCCGGGGCGAGCCACGGCCACTGGTGCGCTGGAGCCGTCTGGGCTCACGGCAGAAGGTGGAGCACCAGACGCTGCTGCACATGGACAGCCAGGCTGTGCTGCAGGTGAATGGGGCACCCCGGGGTGCTGTGGGCACTGTGATGTGCCGGGTGCTCACCACCCATCATGTCCCCTCGCCAGCTCTCACCGGCCAAGCCGGAGCACGCTGGGACCTACATCTGCACGGCACAAAGCGCCCTGGGCTCGGCGCAAGCCCGTGTGGACGTCAGTGTGGAGACTGCACAGAGGCACCCCGGGGCCCCCGAGGTCACTGCGCCGCCCAGTGTCACCGTGGTGGCTGGGGACACCGCCACACTGCACTGCTCAGCCACAGGTATGGGGTGGGGACGGTGGCTTGGGGTAAGGGTGCATCTGCCCGGACCCCCCCATGCCTCGGGTGACGGACGGTGACATGCCTGCAGGCGAGCCAGCGCCCCGGATCGAGTGGTCGAAGCTGCGGGCGCCGCTGCCCTGGCAGCACCGGGTGGTGAACGGCAGCCTGGTCATCCCCCGCGCCGCACAGCAGGACTCGGGCCAGTACATCTGCAACGCCAGCAGCCCCGCTGGCTCCGCTGAGGTCTTCGTCACCCTCGATGTGGAGAGTAAGGGGGCTGCGGGTCTCTCTCTGCCTCTGCCTGCTCCCCTGTCCTCCATCCAGATGCCTCCTGCTCTTGCTGGTCCCCGTCTCCCCTCGCTGCCCTCTCTCCATCCATCTGTCCCTTCCTCTGGCTCTGCTCATCACTTGTGTTCCTCTGTCCCACCTCTGCCCAAGTCCAGCTCCATCGCTGCTCATGCTCTCCCACCCATCCCTTCCTCGTGGGTCTGTCCTTCATCCATCCCAGCGCTCATCCTCCTCTCCATCTCCTCGCAGACTCCTTCATCCATCCCTTCCCAGATGTGCCCATTCACTTGTCCATCTCTGTGCACATCGACCTCTCCACCTCTGCTCGCTCCCCTCCCCACCCATCCCCTGTTCATGGATCCAGCTGTTGCACGCAGCCATCTCAGCTCACACTGCGTTCATCCCTTCCTGGTGCATCCATCCACCGCTCATCCATCCTGGCTCACATCCCTCCCTCCATCTCCTCACAGACTTCTCCACCTGTCCGTCTGTGGATCTGGTTCTTGCTCATCCATCCCAGCTCTCATCTCTGCACTCCTCTCTCTGTTGCTGCTCTCACTCCTCCATCCACCCCTTCTCCAGCTTCCTTCACCTGTCCGTCCTTGTGCACAACCCCAGCTCTCCATCTCAGCTCCCACTCCATCCATCCTTCCCTCTGGGTGCATCCAGCACGTGTCCATCCCAGCACTCATTTTGTGCATGTCCATCTCCACCCACACCCCTCCTTCCATCCCTTCCTCGCCAATCCACCCGTTCCTGTGCACGCCTGTCGCTATTTCTGCTCACGTTCCTGCATCCATCCCATCTACTTGGTTATATCCCAGCACTGCTCCCTGTGCGCGTCTCTCTCTGCTCACACGCCTCCATCCAGCCCTTCCTTGTGGTCTCTGGTCCACCTCTCACCCACCCCAGCACAGCTCCAGCCAAGCCCTCCCATGCCACCCTCCTTGCCCCATCGCCACCCTCCTTGCCCCATCACTACCTCACCGTGTGCTGCCAGGCGCTGACCTCTCCATCCATCCCCGCAGCGCCGCCGTACGCCACGAGCCTGCCGGAGGAGAGCACGGTGCACGCGGGCGATGCAGTGCAGCTGCAGTGCCTGGCCCACGGCACCCCGCCGCTGCTCTACACCTGGGACAAGCTCAACGGCAGCCTGTCACCCCGTGCCGTGCCCCGCGCCGGCCTCCTGCGCATCATCCCCGTGCTGCCCGCTGATGCCGGCACCTACCGCTGCCTCGTCACCAACCGCGTGGGCACCGCCGAGACCTTCGCCCGCGTTGTTGTCCACGGTGAGCACCCTGGGGTGCCCTGTGCCACGCCAGAGATGCCCGTGCCACATGGTGACACCTCTATGTCCCACGCAGGTGACGGTGGCGCTGGTGGTGGCGGTCCCCTGGCCGTGCGGGTGACGCCGGCGAGCCTGGTGAAGGGGGTGGGCGGCATGGCCGAGTTCGCCTGCACCGTCTCAGGGGACCCGCGGGCGCGCCTGGAGTGGCTGAAGGACGGCGGGGAGCTGCCCCCCAGCCACAGCGTGCGGGACGGGGTGCTGCGGTAAGAGGGGCACGGGGCGGTGCCAGCCGCTTGCCTGCGCCCCACGGGTCCCACACCTGTGCCCCCCGGTGTCCCTGCAGGATCCCGGAGCTGGCACGGGGGGCGCAGGGGGTGTACGTGTGCCGGGCCAGCGCGCCGGGCGGGCAGGCAGAGGACAGGGCCACCCTCACCGTCCAGGGTAAGAGTGGCACCCGTGTGCCGGGGCGGTCAGCACAGGCACCCCCCGACCTGTCCCCGTGAGCACCGGCACCCTACTCCCCCCAACCCCTCAGCTCTGCCTGCAGGCATCTGCTGACCCCGCCCTCACGTACCCCAGTGCCCCCCACCTCCCCAAACCCACAGGCACCTGCTGACCCCGTTCCCCCATGCTCACAGGCTCCCTGTATCCCCCATCTCTCCCCATGCCCCTTGGTACCCCCTTGATTTCTCCCCACAGGCACCCCCCTACCCCAATCACACCCATACACCTGGCCGCCCTGGCACCCTCCAATCTCTCCCCGTGCAGCTCAGCACCTGGCTCCCCCATCTCTGCGTGCCCACAGGCACCCCACTACCCCCTATTTCTTCCCACACCCACGGTCACCCTGATGCCCACAGACTTCTTCCCGTTCCCCTTAGCACCCCCAGTGCCTCCAATCTCTCCCCGTGCCCTCATGCACCCCAGAGTCCCCCACATCCCCCTACACCCATGGGCACCTTGGGACCTCTCCTTGTTCCCCATATCCATGGGCACCCCAATGCCCCTTATATCTCCCCATGCTCACAGGCACACTGCTACCTCCCCATCTCCCCATATCCATGGGCACCCCAAAACTCCCCATCTCCCCAATCCACGGGCTCCCCACTTCACCCCATTCTCTCTCTCCACCCGTGGTACCTCCCTGTGCCCAGGGGCACCCCAAAACCCCACTTCCCCTCCCTTAGCTCTGCCCAGGGCCCTGATCAACATCCGGACGGCAGTGCAGACAGTGCTGGCGGGCACGGCAGTGGAGCTGGAGTGCCTGGGGCTCGGTGACCCCCAGCCCCACGTCACCTGGAGCAAAGTGGGGGGCCGCATCCGGCCGGGGGTGCTGATTCGTGCCGGCACCCTGACCATCGAGCGGGTGGAGAGGGCGGACGCGGGGCAGTACCGCTGCACCGCCACCAACGCCGTGGGCACCGTCCAGTCCCACGTTATCCTCCACGTGCAGGGTGAGGGCAGACGGGGATGCGGAGCGGGGAGGGCATCCCCCACCCTGGTTCAGGGGGGTGACAACTCCGTCTGTCTCCAGCTGCCCCCCACATCGCCGGGCAGCCAGAGGTGAAGGAGGTCTCAGCGGGCTCGGTGGCCGTTCTGCCCTGCTTGGCGTCCGGCTTCCCCGTGCCGGAGATCAGCTGGAGCAAGGTAAGCGGGGACGTGGGGACAGGGCGGTGACCTCCGTCAGGTGCTGACCCCCATGGGTGCTGACCCCCCCCCCCCCGGTGTCCCCGCAGCTGGAGGGGGAGCTGCCTGCAGGCGCACGGGTGGAGGGCACGGCGCTCACACTGCCGGCCGTGCGCCCCGAGGACGCCGGCGTCTACGCCTGTGCCGCCACCAACCGCCGCGGCCAGGAGAAGGCTTTCTACGTGCTGAAAGTCCGAGGTGAGCGCAGACGGATGGACGGACAGGCTGGTGGGGAGGGTACGGGGGGTGGCCGTGTCCTCAGCCCGGCTGATCCCCGGTGTCCCCGCAGAGCACCTGGTGCCCTACTTCACGCAGACACCCCGCTCCTTCCTGCCGCTGCCCACCATCAAGGACGCCTACAAGATGTTTGAGATCCAGATCACCTTCCGGCCCGACGCCGCCGATGGTGAGCGCTGCGGGGGCCCCCCGGCCCTCCCAGCCCCGCCGCGCCGCGCCGGCCTTCTCTCACCCCTTCTCTCTCCTCCTCCGTCTGTCCGTCCGCCTTTCCATCTCTCTCCTTCCTTTAGCTCTCATTCTGTACTCAGGTGAGCACCCACCCCGGGGACCTCTGCGTTCCCCCCTCCCCGGGGTGTTTTGGGGTCCCCGTGCCGTGCGGCCGGGCTGACCCGCTGCCTCCCTGCAGGGATGCTCCTCTACAACGGGCAGCGCAGGAGCAGCGGCGCCGACTTCATCTCCTTCGGGCTGGTGGGAGGGCGCCCTGAGTTCCGGTGAGTGCACGAGGGGGGCACCCACGGGTGGCGGGGGGCAGCACCCCATCCTCACCCCATCCTCACCCCATGCATCCCCACCTCATCCCACAAACGCAGGTTTGACGCCGGCTCGGGCATGGCCACCATCCGGCACCCGACGCCGCTGCGCCTGGGCGAGTACCACACCGTGCGCCTCTTCCGCAACCTCACCCGGGGCTCGCTGGTGGTGGACGGGCTCTCCCCGGTCAACGGGACCTCGCAGGTAAGGGGGGGACAGGGGGACAACGGGGGGGGGGTGGCCTGGGGGCAGCCATGCCCACCCACCTGTGCCCGCAGGGCAAGTTCCAGGGGCTGGACCTGAATGAGGAGCTGTACCTCGGCGGGTACCCCGATTATGCTGCTGTGGCCAAGACGGGGCTCAGCCAAGGCTTTGTGGGTGAGCGACGGGTTGGGGGGCCTGAGCAGTGGGTTTGGGGGGGCTGAGCGTGTTTCCCACCCCCCCAACACCGCCATGTCCCACAGGCTGCGTGCGGCAGCTCCGCATCCAGAACGAGGAGGTGGCGTTCGGGGAGCTGGACCTGCAGGCGCACGGCGTCGGCAACTGCCCCACGTGCCAGGACCAGCCCTGCCAGGTGAGCCTGGGGGGGACACACGTGCACCGTCCCCCCCCTCCCGTCCCATCCCCGCTGCTCATCCGTGTCCCCCCCTCCCCAGAACGGCGGCATCTGCGAGGACGCCGAGAGCAGCACCTACGTCTGCCGCTGTCCCCACGGCTTCACCGGCAGCAACTGCGAGTACTCGCAGGCACTGCACTGCCACCCAGGTGGGTGCCCACCCTGCGGGGACATCACCCGCTGCCCTCCCTGCCTGGATGCTGCCCCCCCCCGGCGCTCACCGCCCATCTCTGTCCCCTCCCTGGGCAGAGGCGTGCGGACCTGATGCCACCTGCGTCAACCGGCCGGATGGGCA